GGTTTCTGGTCCACTCCACTGATTTGATGAATGCTTCACCTGCCCAGTCAAGTCAACAAGTCAGGTAGGATTTTATCTGAGTTTACTGACACCATACTGTGCTAGTTGCTAGGTGGGGACACAGGGAAATACCTGTTCTCAAGCTATTGATATGCACACATTGAACCATACACAGGTTTGAAAATACTAAGTGCCACTTGAGAAAAGAAGGTGGATAGCTATGAAGAAGAGGAAAATTTGCCTTCCAGCTGGCTTTTTTTGTTTAGGGGCAGTGTGGCCGTGATGGTTCAGGGCGAGGTTTGGTTGCAGACAGAAAATTCTGTTCCAGAAAGGTTGTGGAGAGCAGAGGACCTGAGCTGGATTGGGATAGAAATGAGGGAGGTGTTGGTTGAAGGGGAGCAGGAAGAGCACCTTAGGAGCATTAGGCTGAGCAGAGATGGGACTGAGTAAGGTGTGTCAGAAGACCTTTTGGAAGTTGGTGTTAGGGAATATGCAAAATAAAAGTGGAACAAATGCTAGGCTTTGGACTTGAAGGTAGTCAGATAACAGATATATCTTAAGATAACTTAAGAAGGCACAGAATAAGAACATCTTATATAATAAAAGGGCAATATTTAAATTGATGGACCAGCAAAATGACCGGTCGCTATGAAGAGAAGGAAAAATAAAAATAAGATTTATGTTTACAAGCCAAGCGAAGCAGGAGAGTAAGATTGCCAATGACAGGAACAGACAAGTAAGGAAGGCATATTGAGTCTTATAAGGAGAGGCGGCCTATATACAAGTGGTAACATAGCACAAGATTGTGCTCCTTGAGAAACCCCACTGAGATAGTTCTGGCTTTCTATTGTAATTTTTTTGTTTGTATGTGCACATAGGAAAATTTAAGTCAGGTTGTAGACAAACCTACCTGCTTAACTCAGTGGTGACTAATGCTCCTATTGTATGTATACCCATGCATTCAGAGTTATAATATCTAAATGGCATGAAAACATTGAGTTGTATAATTGTCATGGAAATTCTGGGAATATTTTCTTGCTGAGGTTCACATTTTAGTGCTTCATAACATAAGTATTCAACATTATATCTGCATCTTAACATCTGTAAAGAATAAGCAAGTGATGTATGGAGCTGAAGATCAGCCCCCAGTTTATAATATGAGGCTCAGTGCACGAAATTCATGCATGTGGTGAGGGGTTGTCCCTCATGATTGCATCCTCTCCAATCTGGAACCCCTTGAGGAATGTTCAACTGCCTATTTAAATGGGCAGTAGGACATCCCTCTCACAATCCAGGACTGCTGGCTTCCAACTGCTCACCTGCCTGCCTTCCTGATGGATACCTAACTGTTCCCCTGCCAGCCTGATTGTCCCTAACTGCCTTCCCCTGCCAGCCTGGTCCCCCCTAACTGCCCTTCCCTGCAGGCCTGGTTCCTCCCCCCCCCTCCAACTGCCCTCCTCTGCCAGCCGGTTCCCCCCAACTGCAGGCCTGGTCACCCCCAACTGCCCTCCCCTGCAGGCCTGGTCACCCCTAACTGCCCTCCCCTGCAGGCCTGGTCACCCCTAACTGCCCTCCCTTGCAGACCTGGTCCCTCCCAACTGACCTACCCTGCTGGCCTGATCACCCACAACTGCCCTCCCCTGCCAGCCATCTCGTGGCAGCCATCGTTGACCACATGGGGGCAGCCATCTTGTGTGTTGGAGTGACAGTCAATTTGCATCTTATTCTATTAGATAGGGTAGGATAGGAACTTAGCCCAGCTGGCATTTCTCAGCATTGACCTATGAACCAGGAGGTCATGATTCAGTTTCTGGTCAGTATAGTGTGAGGTGTGCAGGAGGCAGCCAATCAATGATTCCCTCTCATCATTGATATTTCTATCTCTCTCTCTCCCTCTCCTTTCCAAAATCAACAAAAATGTATTTAAAAATATATAATAGGAACTCAATAAACAAATGTTAAATGAACAAATTAGTGAACACTGGTACAAATAATCTATAGAGAACAATGTACTCAAAAATTTTATATATTGGATTAGAGGCCCAGTGCACAAAATGCATGCAAGAGGCTCATCTCTTGCAGCACTGGCTGCCTCGGCCAGCCCTTGCAGCCCTGGCCAGCCCTCTCATTCCTGGCTAGCCCTTGCAGCCCCTCACAGCACCTCGGCCGGCCCTCGCAGCCTCAGCCAACCCTTGTAGCCCCTTGCAGCCTTGGCCGGCCCTCGCAGCCCCTTGGCTGGTCCTCACAACCTCCGCTGGCCCTTGCAGCCTTAGCTTCGTCTGGAAGGTCATCAAGCATGTCATTTGGTCTAATTAACATATTAGCTCTTTATTATATAGGATTGGGGAAAAGAATCAAGGCATTCTTGTACAGGCTGTGCTAAAATGGAAGAGGTCATTTACTATTAACTCTTATACATTTTAGACAACATATCTCTATAAAAATCTTAAAATGCCAATGGCCAAGATTGAAAGGAAGGGAAGTCATCATTTAAGGGAAATGAGAAAGAAATAAAAAGCCAAAAGTAATAAGCAGGATTAGGTAGTTTATGAGGGTGATGAACCCTCTAATGGATTTTAATGCCCACATAAGTTCAATAGGCATACCTTAGGCCTAATTCAAGGTGAGGAGCCAAAACTGATCCGGCTTCTTAAAGCAACAGTTTAAAAGGATTGCTTTGTCTATGAAATGGGGATAGAAAAACCCTACTCATAAGCCCTAACCTGTGCCACCATATTTGAGGGGACACAAAGTTACACAAGTGGAAAAGGGACTATAATCCAAGAAGTGAACATCAAAATTGGTGTAGGAAACTGTAGGGCCTTGGTTGAGAACAACATGAAACTCTGGTAAGGCATTTCTACTATTTAGGACACAAAAATAAAAAAGCAAAAATACAAAATTACAAGTACATAAGAAAACAAATCATTGTGCGGGTCAGAAGATGACTGTATAAAGAATTAGGATGTCAAGAACTGAAGAGAGTAGAACAATCCAAAAGAGAGTATCAAACAAGCAGACTGGAAATTATTAAAGGAGAAAACTATAAGAAATAGTATGAAAGAAGAGCAGATGGACTTGAAAAGGAACCAAAAGAATTTCTAGGACATGAAAAATACAGCCACTGAAAAACAAAACAAAACAACCACTCTCTGTTTGTTAATCAACAGATTAGGTATAGAGAGAGATGGAAAGGTTGATGAGGTGGTGGGTCCAACATAAATTTAACAGGAGATTAGGGAGAACAGGGAAAAGCAATATTCAAAGAAAAAAAAAATGGCTGAAGAATTTTCTATAATTGAAACATATAAATTCAATAACCATAATGAATCCTATGTGGGATGATTCAACAAACTATGGTATATTCATTTAATAGGATTCTAATCTGCCATTAAAATGGGGGAATTATATCTAACTGTATATTTAGGGATAAATCTAGAAAAGACAATATTGAGTATAATAAGTTTATAAAGGTAGAGTATGATATTAGATATGCAACTATAAAGATACTGTGTGGTGATTACAGAGTCATTTGTAATCACACCAAATGCAGTTTAATGGGGAAAAGAGAGAAAATATATTGGGATTGAGAAGCACACAAAAAGGGGTTTCTCCATCTGTCATATTTTATTTTTAATGTTAACATTTGTTAGCTCTGAAAGTGCGAATATGGTTTTATTGTTACTCTCTGAAAATTTTCTCTAAAAATGTTTCATTAAAAATAAGCTGTTCTTTTATTTTTGAATTTTAATATTACATCTTGTTACACAATCTGTAAAATAGTATTAAAAACCCTTGCCTAGTGAGACATCTATAAATTCTAAAGAACTGTTTAGAGTCAGAAATATTTTAACACAATTTCAATGCCTCAAAAGCACTTTGTGTTGTTATCTATAGTTGCACCTAATATCTGATAGTCAAAAACACCCTAGCCTCAGAAGCAGTGGTTGTAAGAAGATATCACATTAGCATCATGATTCCTGCATTTATTACAATATATTGCTTACTCTACACCAATCATTGTGTAAAAGCTTTTCTTTTCACACACTCATTTAATCCTCCCAACAGTCCTTTAAATGAAATATATAGGTTTATTAGTTACATTTTACACATTATTTTCACTTGATAATTGAGGCACAGGGAGATTAAGTAACTTGCCCAAGAAAACAGTAGACCAGGCAGTCTAGCTCCAAAGCTCAGTTCTTTTATTTTTAAATAATATATTTTTATTGAATTCAGAGAGGGAAAGGGAGATAGGAACATCAATAATGAGAAACATCAGTGATGAGAGAACCATTGATTGGCTGCCTTTTGCACGTCCCCTACTGCGGATCGAGCCCACAACCCAGTCATGTACCCTCGACTGGAATCGAACCTGGGATCCTTCAGTCCAAGGCTGATGCTCTGTCCACTGAGCCAAGTCAGCTAAGGCCAAAGCTCAATTCTTACCAACTAAGTTGGACTAAAAGTTTGTGTGGCCATTTGGGTAAATTGATCTTGCACCTTCTCTGTGAAAACAACCCACCTTAGTCTCTCTCACATAGAGCTACCTGTCTTTTCCCACTAAGACATTTTTCCTACATTCTCATACTCGCCTCTCTTCTTAAGCATAGGGAATGTGAGCAATTAAAATAAAAGGGGAGGGGAGGACTAATAGTTTTGGGGAGAAATACTTAAGCTCTGAAGTTGCTACTGGAATGCCATACTTAGTAACTTTCTGGGGGGAGTTAATTTCTGGGTCACCTCCATGGCATTATTTATTTGGTGGAATATTTGCGTGACCATCCGAACACAGGATTTACATTGTTTCAGAATAAAAATGTTAAAGAATTGGTTATATTTGGTGTCAATAACAACATATTTTTGAAGCCATCTATATTAGCAGTTTTCCTAAGTAGTAATTTAAGAGACAGTATAATGAAGAGAATAGTTGGCATTTATAAGATATTTTAAACTTATGGTTTTAGTTAATTGCCTAATATTTAAAAAATAAACTGAAATTTGATTGATTGTATAACTTTAATACTTGAAAATTTTTATTCAGAAGTTAACAACTTAATATAATACAGATTTGTACAAAAAACAGGAACCATTAAAAACTTCTGATCATACAGACAAAAATATGACTAATTAAAGATTAAAAAAGGACAGGACATTTTGTAAATATTGTAATGCTTTAAGTTACTGTGGCAGATACAAAAATCAAGAATTCATTAACAGTGTATATAAAAAGCAACTATATGAATTTTTAGCTGTTTAAATTAACGAAATAGAACAGTAGTGGTATTTTTCTTAAAAAAATGAGGTATTATTACACTGTAAACCAAAAACAGCATAAATAAATAAAGGCAATGTGCAATTAAGTGATACATGGTTATACATTTTAACTAAACAAACAACAAAAATTTTCCCGTTATTTATGGATTTTGTCATTTAAAAGTCTGGCTGATTGTGTACTTCTTATTTAAAAGTGACATAACTATCAATAAACAAGCACATCACTAAACATGCAGACCAAGCCAGTACAATTTTCCATCTCTACAAAAAAAAACTTTGTTTACATTTTACTTAAAACACTTAAGTCTGGTTTCTTATACATGATTCTTTTGTGCTTATTAGTTAGTAGTAACCTACATTAAACATCTTGCTTTCTAGTTCAAGCAGTGTAATAGGGAAGCAGTTTTATTTGCATATGGATTAAAAGCAGAGCAAATAAAATAAAACCAACATGCCTTTAACTCCCTTAGGCTTTCCACGAATTTTAAGAAAATCTTTAAACAGTATATCCAAATGAAAAAGCAGAGTCGCGTATGTTTCCAAGAGAATAATAAACCAAGGAGTAACTTTCTTTCCTTAAAGATTCATGGGTTGGCTTCAGAACTGCAGGAAAACAAACTGATGAGTTCCTCCACCCTAAAAGAATTCTGCTGGTTGGGTGCAGGAAGCATAGCAGTAAGAAAATAACGTAGTTCAGAAAAAATTGTGGGAAGGTATTATTTGCGTGAGAACTAGATGCTGGTACTAAATGCTGGCTTCATTATTATTGCAAATATATCTTCAGAGTTTTCTGAAATAAAACTATCCAAGAATAATAGAGAAGTCTTGATTAGGAAATATTTGTAGCATGCTAATAAAACTGCTTCATTTGCTATAAATTAAGAAAACCATTTACTGTCTGTCTTAAAATACAGTTTCTTTTTACATGCTCCTTTATTAGAAACTCTAAAAAGGGTACTTTTGAATTTCCTATATTCACAATCCAGTGAAAAACAAAACACTTTGGTCAAAATGTTGAACTTGATTTTTTTATACAAAGTACATCATTTTAACACAAATGTTATTATTGTATTATTCACTTTTGTCAAATATTTTATCCTAAGCTTTTCTAAAAATTAGTGTTGCAGTATAACTGGTGATCAAAAAATATTAGAAATAAGCCTTGTACATCAATCAAAGTATATATCAAACAGTTATTTTCTTTTGTGCTTGTAACTGACTTAATTTATCTGATTTCTGTTCTAATATCCCATCCCTTAAGAAGAAATCATTATTATACAAATATTACATTATACTTAAAGTAACTAGTGCCAAAGTGCATGCAGACTAACATTAATTAAAAGAATATAACCCGAATCCAATTAATCTGAAAATAGTTACACTCTTGTACAATCATCTTTATTGATTTGTAAAAGCTGTATACACATCTAAAACCCTGAATTTTCTTTGTAAAAATAAATCTTTAGCAATAAATGGCACTATCAAAATCCCATTATTCTCAGGCTATTATGGAGTTATTTACATTCTTTTCAGCAACAGTTGAATCTTATTAAGATGAAAGTCAGTATATCAAAAAACCCTGTATATTGCATTTGCAGTTATACTTTTGTTTACCTCTATATGAAAATATGGCTACATGCCTTACATGAATGCTAATGCAGCTATCTGTGTTGCTACTGTTTCCTGCAGCATACAATCTGCCACTAGGTCCCACTGTGCCATCCCATGGGTGCTTTCTTTATGGCACGTTGCTCCCCAGTGGAACACTTGCGACAAACTACGTATGGAGAATGATAAAGTGCTATAAAAAAGAATGACTGAACTCACCTATCTCTGCCATCTTGTCTTTCCCCCACTCAATCAAGGTCTGTGTTTTTAGAAAATTATGCCTCCACTAACATATTCATATATATATATTTTTTAAAAATCAGTATTTTAAAGTTGGTGATTGTTGTCAAGGTGTTTTGAGACAAAAACATGAAAGGTTAAAGGCACAATAAGAGGGAAGTAAATGCTACATATAAAATATGTTTCAAGTCTTCTAGGTTACTCAAGTCCAAAACCTTCTGAATTTGAAATTCCAATGATCAATTTCTGTTTCAGGTCCTTTTTGCTCTTGTAGGGGGGAAGACAAAGTTGATTGAAGCAGGTATGAGCCACAGGCAACCTAGGAAAAGAAAAATATTTTAAAAGATACTAAACCTTAAAACATATGCAGAATGCCTGCTGAGCAACATTCAAAATACCATTCAAATACCTCACTTTCCCAAGAGATGACTCATTATTTCTTTTAGTGAACAAATACTTAATAAGGACCTACTATGTGTCAGACACACTTCCAGAAATGGGACTAGGTTTATAGACAAGACAGTCAGCATCTCTGGTCTCATCAGACTTTCATTCTGGAGGCATTATTTTTGGATTCAGACAAATCTGAATTTGAATACTGTCACCCTCACTAGCTGTCATTTGTTCAAATGGCTTCATGTTTCCAAATCTCAGTTTTCTCATCATCATGATTTTGTAAACTATCCAATTAGATTGTTTCAAAGATTTAAAGAGCTATCTATATAAAACACCTAGCAGAATAGAAGATAGTATGACTATTACTATTATTTCAATCTTGACTGTAAGAAGAAACAACATCAGAAATTTTTTGAGACACTTGCTATCCATACTTTTACTGTTGCTGTCCTCAATGCACATGCCAAATTCATTCTCTGACACCAGTGATCAGCTCCCCCAACCTCTACTTGATGACATTGTCATCTTCAAGATTTCTAAAGGTTTCTTAGACTCTTTCCTTCAGTATTTATGAACTCCACACCATCAGAATATTTGTCAGTGATAGCAGTGGGAAAGGACAAAATCCAGTTCAAGAATGAAAAGAAGAACTGAGAGAACTCAGGAAATATATAGGGCAGCAGGAAAAATGATTATAATCAAAGTAGTGGCTACTCAAATCAGCTTTAGAAATTACAGGTTAGGAAAAGAAGTAGATCAACATTATTAGAAAACTGGAGGCCCAGTGCACGAACTTTGTGCATGGGGGGCAGGTCCCCTCAGCCCAGCCTGCACCCTCTCCAATCCTGGACCCCTCGAGGGATGTCTGACTGCTGGTTTAGGCCCAGTCTGGCTTCCTCTCACAATTCAGGACCACAAGCTCCTAAATGTTCACCTGCCTGCCTGCCTAACTGCCCCTAACCGCCCTCCCTGCCACCCTGGTTGCCCCACACAGCCTGCTGTTCAGTCGTTTGGTTGCCCCTCAGTAACCCCCTGATGGCCTTGCCGCCTCACACAGGCTGCTGTTTGGTCATCTGTTCAGTGGTTTCGGTTGTGATGGTTCCCAGCTTTTTATATATTAGGATAATTTAAAGCCATCATAATCATCAAAACTTTTATATGCAAAGAGCATTAGACTAAAAAGAAAGAGGATTAATACTAGAGGTACTTCTAGTACTAGAGGATCTCTAGTACTACTAATAATAGCCAAACCCCCATCTTAAAAACACCTTTAGATAAAAACGAGGGTTAAGCACTGTACTACTAAAAACAAGCTAGTCCTATAAGAGATCATAAAGCAGTAGATTTAGCAAAGCAAAAAGTTATTGGAAAGGGGTTATTATCAGTTAGTATTGGTATGCTTGAAAATTAATAGAGGGCCTCTCTCATTTAAAGGCCATGTTTACTCCCAAGATTTCTCTATGAAGATGACTTCAGAATGAAAGAATCCTCTAATTATAAACATTATTAGCAAAACTTATAGATTAAAAATAAAACTTTAATCTGGAAATTTTACCAATTAGTAGAAGTTTCGTTCTTTGAGATTTTAAAATTCAAATCAGCCATTCCTCCTACAGGGACTCTGTCACTTCCTGTAGTAAAATGAAGCAACTTCTTTTGAAGATCAAGAGGAAATCCAAGTACAACATCCCAAAAGTATCTGGAGAACACCAAAGGAAATTTATATGAATGTCTTGAGGATCATAAGAAAGCAGCAATTTTCAACCAATGTGCTGCAAGAATTTTTAAAATATGCAATACTTACTCAGCTAGGGGTATTGACCTCTTTTCCCCTAGACTGTCAAATTAAGAAACAGCCAACACAATAGCTAACCAGTGTGAATGAATCAAAATTATACCTATTTTTTTTTTAGATCAGCAAAAAACTAGAATTTTAGTAACTAGTTTATGTGTGGCATGGCATGAAAAAGGTTGAAAATTGCTGGACTAAAGTAACATAAAAGTAGGCTCTAAGAAAACAAAACTTCTCTAAACATACATAGTACTCTTACTATGAAATTAAGGAATGACAAGCTTCTATATATGAACTAGAGGCCCGTGCACAGGGGGCTGCGGGGTGGGGGGTAGAGGAGAGATGGGGTGTCTCCCCTCAGCCCGGCTTGCACTCTTTCACCGTCCAAGAGCCCTCAGGGGATGTCTGAATGATGGCCTAGGCCAGTGGTTGGCATATTCAGTCAACAGTGCCAAATATCAACAGTACAACAATTGAAATTTCTTTTGAGAGCCAAATTTTAAAAACTTAAACTTCTTCTAATGCCACTTTTTAAAAAAAATTGACTGGCCCAGGCAGTGTTTTTTTGTGGAAAAGCCACACTCAAGGGGTCAAAGAGCCACATGTGGCTTATGAGCCACAGTTTGCCGACCACAGGCCTAGGCCCATGGGGAGTAGGCCTAAGCCGCAGTCAAACATCCTTAGTGCTGCTGAGGAACGAGGAACGCTATGAGCCCAAATTGCGGCTGAGCAGAACTCCCCACTGTGGGAGCGTACTGACCACCATGGGGCAGCTCCTGCGTTGAGCATCTGCCCCTGTGGTCAGTGTGTGTCATAGTGACCTGTCATTCCACTGTTCAGTCCTTTTGGATATTACCCTTTTATTACATAGAATTAGGTTTTTGATTCACTTTATTATAAAAATAAATTTTTATAAAATTATAAAAGTGGCCCAAGAGTGGATAGGACAACAGCCAGTTTTCTCCCACATAATTTTTCTTATTTTTCAACACATTTGCTATTAAAATCCTATTTAGATGTCTAGTATCCCTGCAATTCTAGAACCAAAGTCAATTTTTGAAAAGTAAAATTTCTATACTTTCGTAGAAACTTATTTATATTACTCCCTCCTCGGAAATTAAATAAGGCGATGTGGAACTCCACAGTAGTTCAGCTGACTGACTTGATCCTGAGATTGTAAGTTACACAAGTAAACGAAACCACTTTGTCTTTTATCCCCTCTTCTGCAGCCTCGCTACCTTATAGTCGAGTCAGTTTTCGCGTAGCCGTCATACTGAGTACTTCTCTGCAGAGCATGCATGTCCAGTTCAGGGCTTCCGCACACCAGGATTTCAACTTCTTCTGGGCGAAGCAGCTGCCAATAATTATTTACCAAACATGACAATAAAATGTGATAATTTTAAAAAGTGAAATTGGAACTATTTTCACAGAATCAAACTACAAAAATCATGACTTACAGTAAATCATTTAAAAATTATCCATTTATAATTTCCCTACTGAGGTAAGATATTTTTGCTTTCAAAAGTTTCATATATCTTGTCAAACTACTAAGGCTCTCTCTTCCTTTTGCAAACATTAATTGCAGTTTGCTAGAAAAACAAGCAGATGACAAAAACAATCATGAATCCAAATTACAGTTCTTCCCTCAAACCCAGCTTGAAACTGTCTCAGCCTTTACTGATCTGCCTGCTCCTTCCAATACCTCCGCGTCCCTTCCAGTAATGCACCGGATGTGTGCACTGTAGAGTTTAGGTACTTGGTTACATACAGTCTGCTTGTGTTACTCACTGGTTTTATTACCTACATATTGTCTTCCACTTGAGGAGATTAAAACTGAAAATTAAACCATGCTATGCCATTTAATTCCTTTTCTCTCCCTCCACCCCCACAATTACCAGTGTGTCACAGACAAAACTGTTTTCAAAGGTCCTTTCAACAATACATGTGACAAAGGTTACTGTGAAACCGGCTCTCTCCTATGAAAGTAATTCAAATGAAAGACCTTACTCCAAACTCTCATAATAAACCTAGGGAAAATAAAAGTGGCGTGATAGTGTGTGCCATGGACAGCTGGGGTGAAGAGCACCAGTTCTTTAGAAAACAGTGCTTTTATATTTTCAACATTGAGTTCTAGATAGAGGCTGCCCCATGTTCACATGCCTCAGATAAGGCAAACATGACTTATCTGTCCATCATGACTCTGGAGACAAACTACTTTTTCTGGGTAAAAGACAACTCAGTTGTCAAGGAATTCTTGAAGCGACAAGAAACAGTTATAAATATGTTCCTTAGTCAATAAGAGGTGGCTTTAGCCCCCGAGCTTATGTGTTAACTGTTTTCTGTGCTTTGCCCCTCAGTATTAAGACCTTGAGCCCACAGGATTTCTTCATCCACTCCGCTTGGGGGAATTTTTTAAAGCCCTAAAAGACATAGTATAAGACATTGCACAAGGGGAGAAAAATGGAGCTGACTGGTCCTTTTTCCCTTCAGAGGGTTAAGGCTGAAATGGGAGAACAATTTTTATTTCTAGCTCAACCTTTAAGAAGTAGAAAACATTTTCTATTTTAAAAGCTTATCTACTAAAATATCTAAGGAATTATTTTTCAGTTATTGTCACACTGTAAAACCTAACTGAAAGCATAATTTAAAGATTTAAACTCACCATAAGGGCATTTGAAGCACACACACTATGAAATCCATAATAAAATGCAGCGAACTGCTTATAGATGGATTTGTTGAGAAGAAAGTCAATATAAAGCTGTACATATTCTGAAAAGCAATTTTCCATCGTTACATAGTAAAAGTAAAAGGTAAACAGTAATGTATTTGAATTAAGAAAAGATATGTAACTTACCTTTTCTATTTTGATTGGTAACTGGAATTTTTTCACCACCTGGCTTTAAATTATAGGACTTAATTATTCCAAATTCTTCCTGAAAAACCTGATGGGAGAGTCCATAAGAAATTTATTGGTATGGTTGATATAACAGGCTTTAGTGAACAGCTTTGTAAAATTTAAAAAGCAATTTTTCTCCATCTTAGTACAAATCACATGCATTGTCAGGTAAAAAAGTAAGTCTTTAATTTAACCCCCTCTATTGAATGTTGAACACTTTACTGATATTCACAAAACACCTGTGGCCATTTAAGTTTTGGAGCTATATTGTTTACTTTAATTTCCATTTTCCAATTATTGGTAGGTTCCAGAGTGGAAATGAGTTTTGATGAATTTTTTTAAGCACTTTCATCGATTGCTCCTTCTCCTGTGTCTTCATTATCTACTTCATCAGGTTAAGATCTTCTGTGATAGGAGATATTATTGGTATGTGTTGACTAACCCTCTTCATCTTTTCTAATAATGAGTTTTTCATAACAAATGGCATTTTTCATATATGAAATACATGATTAACAGAAAGCAACTTGTACCTGGAATGTTGAGTAGAAATCTTCCTCAACATTGCCCTCATATGACAGGAGTTCACTTAATCCACGGGCCAGCTCCTATAAAAAAGAAATCTATTATCTGTGGTTTTAAACCAAATGGTCTTACCTACATGTGAGATAGAGCAGATAAACTTTCATATACTCAGATCTGCTACATTCAGGACTGTAGACCTGTTTACCTCAGCCTTTGCATTTTCAAACCCCAATTTTTGTCGAGAACTGTCTTTATCAATACTGTCAATCTTAGACCCTCACCTCTAATACACTAGCTCTAAAATATTTATTACCCTTCAGTTAAACATTCAAAATGATTTTTGTAAATGTATAATTAAATAAACTGTATGAAGTTACAGAATAGTACTTTTGCACAGTTTGAATACCCTGGTCTTATTTAATACAGCATATTTGAGAGTAGCTTAGCAGAAGCAAAAAAGATAGTACACATACAAATTCTAGGTTATGCTGCCTCTCCTCTGTTTTCAACATAAACTCTCCAGTGTAATTCTCATAAGACTGTTGGGAAGATTTCTTTCTTTTTTTTTTTTTTCTGGACAGTTCTGTTGCTCTAAGTCATAGCTCACCTCTCAGAAAAGCAGTGGAATATTCATTAACTTGGTCATGGAAAATTACCGCATTTATTAAAACCATATTGAAGTCTTCATTGAGCAATATTTTGATTACTTTCTTTTAGTCCTGTAGTCACAGATGTCTTTATATTAAGAAGCTTATCTATTATATGTTTCTCTTCAATTTCCTATTCCCTCTTCTTGAAAACAGGGTATACAAATACATATGATAAAAAATTGAATAAAAAAGCAGTTAAAAATTTTAGGGTATATTTTTACCATCTATGAAATGGATATTAGGTGCCAATTTTAATAGATTCTTTTAAAATTAATAAATGAATAATCAATTTATAAAACATTTTTAAAAATTCCCACATTCCAGCATCCTAACACAGCAGCAATTTTCCTGTTTGCTTTCAATCTTTATTGATGCATGTACAGAAACAGTTTTTTTCAATAGTCGATCTCATAGTATAGGCACAATCTGGATTTGTTATTAAAGAGCTACTAAAAGAATATAGGCTCAGGGAAATCTTCAGCTCCATAATATCAAACAACATATTGGTATTTAGTCATTTATAAAATATCCATATTTTATTAAAAATATAAAAAAATGGGTCTAAATGAATCAAATTAAAATAGCTTTAATCATAGAATTGGGCAATTTAGTGACAAAAATCACTAATAAAATTAGGAAATTTATCAGTAAAAGATTTGGCAAAAACTAAATAAGTAGGGCAAAAAACATCCCAAAAATATAAAATGAGACAGTAACTCAGAGCTTAGTCTATGTCCATTGTTTTATAGATAAGAAAATTAAGTGACTCATCCAGGATCACAGCCAAGTACAGTATGTTGCAGAGACAAGACTATAGAAGCTATCTCTTAATCAGAGCCTGCTCTATTTTGCAAGCAGTAAAAAAATATAAGGAATTGTCAAGAGGATGTGCATACTATCTGTTTTTCTACTAAATTTTTACCTTAGATTAAATTTGACCAGAAATCTAAATTTTGAACTGAGAAATATTATGAGACAGTCCCATGAAGTTCATGTTGTATTGTCTTAAGAGTTGTTGCGTACACGGTTAACAATACTGCACAGTATCATCTTAATAAGGATCCATAGAAGTAATCATTAATAAGTGCTTTCTTATCTCCTGCAATCCCCCAAATACATGAGTTTTACTATCTCATTATTCATATAAGGAGACTAGAGCTCAGAAACTTGAAACAACTTAGCTAAGTTCACAGAGCTAATAAGTGGCAGAGCTTGGATTCAAATCTCTGCATCTCTGACTTCTAAGCCTGTTGTCTATGGTATAAGAGCTGAAGAGTGCTGCAAAGTGTCTCCACAAGAAAGGAGAAATCTAGATAAAAAGGAGATGTGTTACAAAAGTAGAGAGAAACCATATTTAAAGATAAGAATAGCATTAGAAGGAGAAAGACTATGCAAGTAGAGGATGCTAACATTAAGGAATACGATGCTAGTAGCTTTATACTTACAGGCATAATTTGACTTAAGTCATCAGTGGTGACACTGCAGATGCCCACTGGTGTATTTTGATCACTAGGAACGATGGGAGGGCTCAATAATTTCTTGTAACAGCAGGGGGGGAAACGAATATCCAGTGTAATGCTGTTATAAACAGCTAGTCCCATAAGCTATGCATACTAAATGTTAAGTATTAACATAAGATCCATGACAGCAAATGAGTTTTAAATTATGCATCAGTCTGTTTTTGTATATTTCTTTCAGATCTAATACTGACTTAAAAAAAAAATACTGATTTCAGAGAGGAAAGGAGAGGGAGAGATAGAAACATCAGTGATGAAAATCATTGATTGGCTGCCTTCTGCATGCCCTATACTGGGGATTGAGCCCACAACCCAGGCCTGTGCCCTTGGCCGGCAAACCTGGGACCCTTCAGTTCTATCCATTGAGTCAAACCAGCTAGGGCTAATACTGACTTTTTAATGAATTGTCACATACTCCTTTCCTTTCATTTATCTCCCCACATAATTCTTTGATTACCAAGTCATGTAAAAAGGAGGGAATTAGTTGATAGTATTTATGATTTCCTTAGAAAAGTTTAAGATCACAACAAATAACAGTTTCACACATATCCAAAAATTAATATATAAGAATCATTTTCTAAATTTAAACAAAGATAGTGACTTTATAAGTAGTAGCAGCAATTTATTTAGAACTCACTGAAGAACATACTACTAATTTTGGTGACCATTTTATCTATTTTAAAATTAAATACAGACTAAAGAGACCTGAGTTGAATAAACATATGGATACACATACAGAGACATACATACTGTTGATTAGCTAACAGGACAATTACTCTCCTATGATAATATCTGAAAGGCCTTTAATACTTGAAGTTTACTCCAAGGGTTAAAGTTAAAACCTACAGATGTTATATATATATAAACTCTGCCCAGTTATATGTTAAAAATATTCTTAATTGATTTCATAGAGGAAGGGGGAGAGAGAAACATCAATGATGAGAATCACTGATCGGCTGCCTCCTGCACATTCCTTACTGGGGATCAAGACTGCAACCTGCCCTTATGCCTTGTCTGGGAATCAAACTGTGACCTCCTAGTTCATAGGTCAATGCTCAATCACTGAGCCTCTGGGCCAACTGTATTTTATCAGTTATATGGCAGAATGTAACATCCATTTACTGAAAGAGGGGTTTTATAACAAATTTCATATTTCAACTATCAAAGATTATTATATCAAGTTATTAAACAGAAGTTATTCTTTTTGTAGGCTCAAAAGGAAATCTTATTGTATGGGCTGGACAAATTACTGTGAACAATTAAAAAATTAGAAGGTAGCCTGTATTTCAATTTGCTAAGACAGAATGAGGTTAATAATTTAAGGAACAGATATGCTATTTTATTGGTAACCAAAGTAACAGACTGAGCAGTGTATGCAAGGGACAGATGCTGAAAAGAAGTCCTATTATATGTCTTTAATTGTGATATAGCAATAATGGCAATAACCGTAATACTACTGTAGTTATATTTATGAGTATTCAACACTTTAGAGACAAGTTCTATGCACTTTTCATTCTAAAAAGTTCTTTTAATTATAATTTAACAGATGAGGAAGTAGCCTTACAGGATTTGCTACAGGAAACTTGCATTCGCACTAAAACAATGTGCTCTGGTTGAAGCAGGAATGGGGATGAGGTGTCATGTGCTATAAACAGAGTTTGAAAAGCCTGCACTGTACTACACTCTGAGTTCCAATGGCCCTTGTGATATAAGCATCATATTTAAAAAAAATTGTTATATCATCATGCAGTCTTCAAAAATTTTTTTTATTATTATAGGTTTCTCATGTAAATGCCAAAGCCTTAACATATTTAAAAATGAAGTATTAGAACTAACTACATTTTCTCAATCATTATGCCTATTCTTAATGTTTACTAGTAGTTCTCCTCACCTTCATGATCCACCACTTACATGATCACAATCCACTATTGTTTCACATTTTTCCTATATGTTCTAATGCTTTTAAGGCATCAGTCTTATTTTCTACAGATTATTTTTGTGTGAGATAAAAACAATGAGATGTAGTGGTTAGAATAATTTTAGATTTATGGCAGGTCCTTGAATAACATTGTTTCAATCAGTGTTGTTTCATTGTAATGCTGATCAGATGCTGCAGGAACTTAACTCTTGTTTATATCAATTAGCCTATGGTAAAATTGGTTTCGTTATATGTCATTTCACTTAAAGTCATAGAGCCTATTGACAGTGTTAAGTGAGAACTTACCGTAACTATTTAACTTGAAGTATGCAACATAAGTAAATATGCTTAATATGCTCTTTTGGGTAATGACTGAATAGAAACTAATGTCTAGTGTAAAGAAAACAATTAGTGCCTGGCTGGTGTGGCTCAGTGGTAGAGCAATGACCCATGCACCAAGAAGTCACTGGTTCGTTTCCTGCTCAGGGCACAGACTTAGGTTGCAGTTCAATCCCCAATGGGAGGCATGCAGGAGGCAGCCAATTGATATTTTCATCTCTCTCTCTCCCTTTCCCTCCTCTATCTCTAAAATAATCAATTTATTAAAAAAAAACATTAAAAAAGAAAACAAGCAAATTAATGATTGTATGTACTAGTATAACATTCTAAAAATATGATGGTTCAGTAAAGTCTAATACTACAATACAAATATTGAAAAATCAAAATATCACTCCAATGTAAACTGTGATGAGAATGTGAAGTGTGACAAACATGTATCAGGAAATCCAAACAGCTCATAGTGTAATGAGAAGCACCAATGACTCAGGCTTTCAGTGAAGTTGAAACATTAACAAATGATTACTGTAAATACAATAGAAACAAAAGTCTGAGAATTGTTAAGTGTTCTCTATTGTGGAACTTGGCACGTTGGACCTTTAGACATGACAATATACACAAAATTGCAAATTGAGTTATCATTTCAGTGTGTAGTTTTTTTTTAGAACCCTCTTTCCTAAGGTTTCTTAATTTCTATATATTATACATTTAGTTTCTCAATTTCCATATACGTTTCTCAGGATTTATTCCAACAAATGCAACAAAGATATTAAAAGCTCTCCGTAAGATAGCTCTTTTTAAGAAATATATGTTTCATTGATTTCAGAGAGGAAGGTAGCTCTTAACTCTCCTTCTGAAGCTGTCTTGCATAACACCCAGGGTGCCCTCTGCTTCAGTCAATTGGACCTACACATTGCACTGTAACAGGCACAGCACAACACAGCCATTGTTCTAGTCATTCTTCTACCTTACTAGCATGCTGTAAAACTTTTTAAAAAATTGATTTTAGAGAAGGGGAAAGGGGGGGAGAGGGAGGGAGGGAGAGCGAGGGAGAGAGAGCGAGAGAAACATCAGTGATGAGAGAGAATCATTAATTGGCTGCCTCCTGCACACCCCATACTGGGGACCAAGCCCACAACCTGGGCATATGCCCTGATCAGGAATCGAACCGTGACCTCCTGTATAGGTTGATGTTCAAACGCAAAGCTATGCCAGCAGGGCTGTCTTATTCTTTTACAGACCTGTTAGTCAGATAGAATGGCTCCATCTTTAAATGTCTACCTTCTGTGGAAGGACTATATTTAATCTTTTTCTCTTCAGAACTCCTTAGCAATTAATGTCAAGTGGTCATTGGACTATGAGAACTGACTATCTTGCATGTTGGTCATCTGGCAAACTTCTTAAAGGTGGATAATATTTTCCTCTTTTTTTAAAAAAAATATATATATATAGATAGATATTTTACAGAGAGGAAAGGGGAGAGAGAAAGAGCTAGAAACGTCGATGAGAAAGAAATATCGACCAGCTGCCTCTTGCACACCCCCTACCAGGGATGTGCCCGCAACTAATGTACATGCCCTTGACCGGAATTGAACCTGGGACCTTTCAGTCCCCAGACCGACGCTCTACCACTGAGCCAAACTGGTTTCAGCTATTTCCCTCTTTTAACATATGTATTTCCAGTGCTTGCTCATTTATTTATTCTTCTGTCCTTTCACAATTATGCTTCTTCGATTAAAAAAGCTAATATAAAGGTATCTTGTCCAATTTCCACCCAATACAAGATGCCTTCTCTAGTCAGAGGATGGCACAGGGATTTATATAACTTTAACAATACTTAAAGTAATGCCATATACTTTGAATATCCCCAATATTTTTAATTTTTAATTAATACTTTAGGATTTGAGGGGCAGATTAAAGACCTAGATTTAATTTACATAATTTTGATTTGGTAAACTGAGTGAAATAAACTATTTTTCTGTTAGTTGTTTCAATTTGTACTTAGAACAAAAACATTTCATCACGAACAGAAGATACTTTGATTTTTAAGTCTTAATTTTCTGACAAATTAGATAATATATGAAATACAAAATATTTTTATTTTGAGATAAGGTTTTCAAGTAAACAAAAAATTAGTCATTCCTTTCAATTAATTAAATCTGACATGTAGCTGTGATATTACAAATAATAAAGATTATTGAAAATCTATCAGTAAAGTTGGTAAGCATGCTTAATTTGAATAAATGCTTGAGAACAGTTTTCCAATATTCAGATAAAAATATTTTAAAAATCTAGTCTCCTAGCACCTCCTAGTGGAAAGTTTAAAGGATACAATTCCAACCAATCGGAATTCAGAATAGTTATCACATTTAAAGCTGCTAAACCAATGGCAGTGTGAATCTTTGTGATATGTAAACATGCCTGAAAAAAAGAAACATAATTTCATTAGTGTGACTGATTTAAAAATCAGAGAGGTAAATATATATATATTTCATTGGTTAGAAACAAAAAAGTTAGTAATACAAACAATCTCTCATATTAAAAATGTATCAAATATATGTTTAGAGAGCATGCATGAGCATTTTACTGTTTATTGATATCCTGAAATATGGGGTAAAAAGACAGAAAATCAGTGGATTTTCCTTATAAAAACTCTAGTTTTATAAGTTATTGGTTATAATCAAAATTAATTTTGAGGATTATGTAGAGATTTCAATTTATCCATGTTATCTCTAATTCCCATTACCAGAAAGATTTTATACACACATACACACACACACACACACACACACACACACACATTACAAAATAAAGAAAAATAAACACTTAAAACTCTCTGAAGAAAAATAATGATTAGATATGTTTTTTCTAAATAAAACTTAAATTTCAAATGATTGTCTTAAAAATTAATGAATTCTTATTCATTAAAATGTCTCATTGTTTAATGAGAGAGGCTTTAAATATTAGTGTAGAAGAGCAAACTAGTTTTTAAAATTTCAAATGTTATTTATTTCAATGACAAATTAAATTCTCATGCATTTGGCTTATTTGGAAAGGAAGTGGATGTGCCCTTGCAAATATATACTTTCAAGTCTTTATTTTGTGTAGGATTCCCAATAAAATAAAATTTTGATATCAATTTGGTCAATTTTAAAAATTTAAATAACAGTCTTTAAAAAATTATTCAAGATTTATGGTTGACAAAAAAAATCTGTAAAACCATAAGGTAGATTAAAAAGAAGAGGGCCTAAAAATCAAATCTAATTATGAAGAAATACTATTCATAAAAATTAAATACTCACCATAATCTGGATGAAAAATTTGGCGAATCAGAAGAAGGAACCATTCTTTAGTCAAACCACCCATATCCAAACCAGCTTCCCCTACAAATGTAACTTTCAACTTCTTTTTCAAGTCTGCTCTTTTCCGGGTTAACTATTTGAAGAAAGTATATAGTAGAGGAGAACAAATGGCAGAAAAAGGAAATTAACTTTTTAAAATTTGGGAAATGTGTTAGATAGTCAGAATTTTATTTACAGTGTCACAAAACACTCATCCACCCACTCACCCACCCACCCATCCATCCATCATCCATCGATTATCCATCATCCATCCAGTGAATCTGTCAGACACTGTGAACTAGGTATTATTAAGTTTGTTGTATAGCTCAAGAAACAGAATTAGAGAAGGTCAGGTACTTTGTCTCCCAGGTTCATATTGTCTCCAAGATTCTAATTTAGCAGATTATAATATAAAATAATTCATTTCTTTAACTTGCCTTCAATACTAAACTTCAAAAAAAAATCACATAACTAAACCAGCCTTTAACTTATAATAGCTACATGCAGATCTGGCTAAGAATTGTACGTGCATGAAGCTCTATAATACATAGTACATAAAATCAAAGTAGGTTTGACCCTTAATTGACCAAATATGCCCTATAGATTGGACTCCTAATTTTATTAGATGAATAATTTGAGGCTTGGCAAAGTTAAAATGACATGTTACACACCCAACCAGTAAGAAAGGTAGGTCTACAGTCTAGGTTACATGGTTATACATATAGTTGTTCTATATAAAATCCCTTTCTGGGGAATTAACAACCTCTTAATAAATATATGAAAATGGGCTTAATTATGAATACAGAACTGACTTTAATTATGGTATTAAAATATAAGGAAGCACATTTACTAGTATAGAGAAATAAGATAGTTTATTAAATCTTTAGAATTATAAAATGTACTTAAAGCTTTAATCAATGAAACCATTTTGAATAAATGATCTATACCTCATCAAGAGAATCACTAACCAGATGTGTCCTCCTTACTTTCATATTTAGAAATAACATATTCATATCAGGTCTCTGTCTTCGAGATACTTTATCCACCAGACTTTGCTAATTGAAAAAGAAAGCAAACATTTTCACTTTTACTTAAATTGTAATTTCACTTAAAACATTTAAACTTTAGTAAAAATCACTTCTATTATTCTTTATATCATATCTCAAATAAATAATTTCATAAACTCAGTTGTAGGAATTTTGATTTAGGAAAATGCTCTATTATTTTGTTTTGAAACAATGGTAACCAAAGGGGATCCAAAATGGAGGACCAAAAATAATTCACCAGCAAAGTGTGCTATGTTTTAGTTTCCACATATCTCTTTAATAGCAAAGCTTTCTGTTTAATAAATACAAAGCATAGTGTGGGAACATTTGAAACATATACTTCGGATGATAAACTTGGCTTAAGGTTTTTTAAGATACTAAATTACTCTCAAAGCATAATTAGTCTACTTTTAGAAAGTAGTTTGCCAGTATTTATCAGAAACATTAATAATGTTCATAATCTTTGTCCCAGTAATTCCTCTTCTAGGAATTATAAAAAACAGAAAATGTTTCATACAGTGAGATGGTCATCATAACATTACTATTATATAAAAGCAAAACTTTAGAAATATACTGAATTTGTTATCTAATAGAATATAATACAGCTATCAAAAATGATGGTCATAAAAACTGTGTAAGTGGAAGATGTTTAAGGAAGGCACAACTGAAAAAAAGCAGGGAACAAAATTGTGGATACAATTCTTGCCCCTACTAGAAAATATAGATAAAAAATATCAAAAGAACATTTATCAAGATGTTAAAAGTTATGTCTGGGTGATGAAACATGGGTGACTGAAAATATCTATTTTTGTTCTTTCAAAATACAAGCACTGAGTATGTAGAAAACAATACATTAAAAAAATATAAGGACTATATAAAATATTCTCTATCATATAAAGTCTACATATTTGCATACTTAATTTCTCTAAATTTCAGACTATTCATCTTTAGTAGCAAACTAAATTAATTATGCAGATTAAAGACTTTAATTTCAGACATTTTAAATGTATGCAGCAATTTGCTTCAGTAGATAAAATTTTAATATCCCTAAATCTCTATGATTAATCCTACTCTTATGATTTAGTAGGTTACTATAATAAAGCATTCTAATTCAGACCCTTCTTCATTTCTCCAATTTCTACTACTACAGGCTTTCAGTAGTTTTTCTCTTCTCTGGGCCCCACTATTTATGCTCAAACTACCTTTCCTACCTTTTATTCCCAGTCTATACCTCCTGGGAAGCCATCATACTGGAAATGACCCCCCTACACATTATACTAGTATGATAATTGAACATGACAAGGCTCAGTGACTATTCCTCCCATCAGGAATTCATCTGTATAATAAAAGCCTAAATGACCACTACAGTGGAACAGCCAGAATGACCGGTCACTAATGATGTACACTGACCACCAGGGGGCAGACTCTCAATGCAGGAGCTGCCCCCTGGTGGTCAGTGCACTCCCACAGGGAGAGTGCTGCTCAGCCAGAAATCGGGTTCAGAGCTGCGAGTGTGGCAGCCGTGGTGGTGGCAGTCTCTCCTGCCTCTGCAGCAGCAGCGCTGAGGAACAGCGAGCCAAGCGGTAAAGAGCAGCAAGCAGGTGGGGGTGGTAAGGAGCAAGGGGTCCCAGACTATGAGAGGGCGTAGGCTTTACTGAGGGACCCCCCCCCCCCCAGCTCAGGAATTTCATGCACGGGCCTCTAGTATTTAATAAAAAGTGCTTCAAATGAAAGAAGTAATAGTGACATTTTAGATACAAAATGTAAAAACAAAATACTAAAAAGGTGCATGAATTGCTTAAATGCAACTAATAAAAAATGTCAAAATGGCCGAAATCGGTTTGGCTCAGTGGATAGAGCGTCGGCCTGCAGACTGAAAGGTCCCAGGTTTGATTCTGGTCAAGGGCATGTACATTGGTTGCGGGCACATCCCCAGTAGGGGGTGTGCAAGAGGCAGCTGATCGATGTTTCTCATCAATGTTTCTAACTCTCTATCCCTCTCCCTCTCTGTAAAAGAAATCAATAAAATATATATATTTTAAAAATTGTCAAAAATGACTAGTTATATAGACTAATCTTTGAGCCATATCTACCCAGGATTAAGAATTCTGTGCTGCCAAAACCGGTTTGGCTCAGTGGATAGAGCTTTGGCCTGCGGACTAAAAGGTCCGAGGTTCAATTCCGGTCAAGGGCATGTACCTTGGTTGTGGGCACATCCCCCGTGTGGGGTGTGAAGGAGGCAACTGATCGATGATTCTCTCTCATCGATGTTTCTAACTCTCTATCCCTCTCTCTTCTTCTCTATAAAAAAAAAAATCATTAAAATAAATATAAAAAAAATTCTGTGCTAAATATACCTATTGAATTTTTTTGGGGAAGGGAGTAATGTGGCTATGTTCTTGCACATAGTCAATAACATTTCTTCTAATATCCTCATACTTGGTGTAAACGGACTTTGGGATGTTACCAGTCCCTCAAATCTCTTGTCCAGCTCTGTGATAGCAAAAAAGTACTTACTTTCTGGGAACTGAATTACTGAAGAAAAAACAATTCTTATTTTGTATGCAATTTGGAAGTAACATAATTTATGCTTTAGCATTCTTTTTGTATTCTTGGACAAGACATGGAAAGCATTTTTTAATTTTTTTTTTTTTACTCTGTCTCTTTTTATTTTAAAAAGACTGCAATCAACCTTTCCTCTAATTTTTCAAGTTGTAAGAAATCATGTTCCAAAACCAGATACTCAAAATACGTGAGCATTTAAGTGTCTAGTCTAAAAGCTCTAATTAAAAAAAAGCTCACTTAATCTGACACCTACTAACTAAAGTATATCACTTGATTGTGCTGCGCTGAAACATGAGTGGCAGGGAGTAGTGAGGGCAGGCCAGAGACAAACTCTGTGCTGCTCCATAACTCCACTAAAGCCACCTTGACAGATGCCCCCTAGTTTCTATGGGCCTCGTGCACTTTGGTTCCCTAAGAAACCATAAAACATATCTTACCTTCTTTGGACATATCAGTTTTCTAAGAATACATGTTTTATTACATCTTCTATTGTTTTTTTTTGGTTGTTTCTATTTGATTTTCATAAAACCAAGAAAACATTTCAATGGTTTGCTCTTACGGACACTCCTTGCCCTCACTGTAATCTTCACCAGAGCTCTCTGCTCATTACTGAAGCTGGAATATGGTATCTACAAGATAATGTTCAACAAGTTCCTAGTTCTTTGGATTTATGAGACACATTTAATATTCCTGCTATATTTATAACAATCAGGAGTTGGTGAGGGGTATCTTTTTTCCTGCATTATAAACAGGTTTAAACACTTCTGGGTGGAATATAATGTGAATTTACTTTTAACGTTTCCTAATTATGCTAGAACAATTCATAAGACATTTGACTTATTAAGTTATTTACTATGTTGATTATAGTCAGCATAAATATGCATACGTAGCTGGCTTACCCTTGCGATGCTTATCATCTGCTGCTCTGAGTCTCTCTGAATAATGATTTTTTTTGCAGCTATAGAAATAACGAATGGGTACTGACAGAAGGAAAACCTGCCCAACAAGTGGAAACAGAAAAGGCAAAATTGTGTATTTTTTAGCAAAATTTTACTAAGGGAATGTAAGGTACCCCTTCTAACAATATAACACTTTACTTTTGAATGATGTCTTATCATTTACAAAATGATCTCAAGTACACAATTTCTCTTAGTCCCAGGGGTGCAGTACCTTTGTTTTCGGGAGGAAGCTACATCTAATGAAATATGTGCTAACTACTTACATTGTTACATAGTAATTCCAGTTTATGTACAGTCACCTGAACATCATTACCTGTGAAAAATAAGGCCAACCCCAGAACCAAGAGGCAGAGTGTTGATGAAGGAGGATTAGGATAGAAAGTTCAAGTACAGAAAATAATTATAAAAATCCATTATTAAATGGATATTTCTGATGTGAGAGCTTTAGAAATGAGGAAATCTTATATGATTATAGTAATAACAAGCAGAGTAATAAATTTAAGACCAATAAAAGTATGTTACTGTTAGTACTGCACTTAATGATAGAGTAATATGAAATGATACATGCTTGTGAAGGTACAACATTGTGATCAGAAGTAACGAAAACAACTTTTTTTTTTGGGGGGGGGTGGTCAGAGCTCATTCTATGCTATGTAAAAAAGCCACAGCCAAAGAGAGGCATTTGGAAAGAACTAGCTTGGCAGTACTGACACTTCAGGAGTTAGACTCCATCAGAAGTGGCTGCAGTGCATCCATCAGTTTTCATTGGAATCCATCCGAGTGCAGTCAGGCAAGGCATCCTGAAGGCACTATGGGGACACAGGAGGTAGCATATGAAATGAAAACGAAATAGCTTCCCCCTGGATCGAAATTGTTAAAAATAGTAAGAGTTGTTCAGTACTAACGTTTAATGATTTTGAATCACTAAGTGCTAACTAAATATTAAGAAATGAGTGTAATGAACTTAGTAGGATAAGTGAAATGAACTTAGCAGGATGCACTTTAAAACAAAAAGATTGAGATTTTTCCCTAGTCTTGGCACTTAGAAGAATAATACTATGTGAATGAGATACTAGATAAACAGCTGAGGCTGCTCATGGCCAGGGGTGACCTGGCCTTGGGCTCCAGATCCCACCCCAGGCCCAGACTGGCTTCCCAAGGGCTGGAGGGATCACAGGATCAAAAGTCTTATTCATTCTTGGTACCTTGCTGTGGTACAGTGGTTAGAGGTGCTCTGTATTAAAAGCTGTCACTAAAATACACACAATAACTCTTGGAGTTGGTTTGTGGTTTTATCTACGTTATAATTATATTAAAGTGGGAGAAAAAAACTTTCTTTGTAAAATAAACTTTCCCAAGAAAGTATTCATCAGACTGAAAGAGGTCGCCAGAAATGGGATTCTTATTCAGTTCGAGTGTTCATATATGGACTGAAATGTGTCCTGAGGGCCATTTTATGTTTTAGGCCAATTCTTGTTGAAAGAATCCCTGGAAGCTTGAACCAGTTTATGAACTAGTCTGCGGTTTGAGGCTACTTACATCCATCCCCTATCTCTGAGTCAGTCTCTATGAACTCTCCAGTATATCTTCTGGTCTGGGAACAAATTGTTTGGGATTGTCTTGCTGGTTTAATTCAGACAGTAAGTGTGGATATAAGGGGCAGTATATTACAGAATTTGGTCATGTGTTTTGAAAATCTGTATACCATTGTAATCATTTGTGGTAAAGAACTTTCTCTAACATCAATTTTCTAAATACTGTTTGTAAAGGCCAACCATTTTCCCTACAGAGTAAGGAAGAAAAAGAGAGTGTATGTGTGTACGTGCACATGTGTATAATCGCTGTGTTAGATCTGGCTCTGGCACCTATGGCCCATGGGACAAAGATGGCCTATCGCCTGTGCTTGTGAATGAAGAGTTGTAGGACACAGACACCCGCATTCATTTTCATATTGTCTAAGGCTGTCTTTTTGTGCTGCAACAGACCAGAGATTGTACAGCCCAAAGAGCAAAAAATATTTACCATCCAGTACTAGCACTTTATAGACAAAGTTTGTTAATCCCTGTCCTAGAATAATAGCATCTAGAATAAGAAGCTACAAGAAATTGCATATTTAGATAGGACCTTTCCCTTCTTAAAAAGATGTTATTAATCAAACCAAAAACAAATTAACATGCATACGAATTCAAAATGTAACAGAAAAATAAAATGCTTTCACAATTATAGTATTTCAAGGCTGAATAATTAAACTACATTTATAAGTTTATATGTAAAGGTATGGGTAGATTTAATAAAGTTATTTACACAAACTTAAAGCCCAGTCATTATTTTGAATAGTACTTCATTTAGGTGAGTAACCACATGAGCTTCTGACTGTACCTGTGGGAGTTTCCAAAGCTCTGCCAGGTGTGGTATTCCTCCATGAGGTCAATGTGATCCAGGGTAGAATTATAGAAATCGGTATAAGGAATAAGGGGAGGGTGAACCAAATTGTTTGCAGTATCTGTAAAGATAAACTCTAACATAATGATCTTTTCCAAAATGTACATAATTTACTCTAATAATAATAATAATAATAATTTTAATGTCTACCAAGTAGTCTTTACCTATTCCTATTTTAAGCAATTGTAGCTTCCAATGGAAAAAGTAGTTTTATAATTGTGATAAATAGAGCCAATAAATTTTCCCCCCAAAAGAACTTGTGGCGGGGATTGTATTATATCGTAAAAGGAGCACCCAGGTGGCCCTCTACTTTTTCTGTCCTCTCCCCCTCACCCCCCTCCCCTTACCCCCATATGTTCTCTCCTTAGCATCCCTCAGGAATTCACGGAAGTTCTTTGTTCTTAGGAGTCACTACTTAGCTGAGTATTTGCAGTTGATAGCCATAACACAGAATACTGCCCAATAAAAAGCACAAAGCTAGCTCCTGCTTGTTAATTAACCATGAACTCCATTATCAAGACAGAAAGTAAATTACAACTCTCCACTTCAAAGAAATGCTTTAAAATGTACGAATGCCTCCATAGTACTTAGAGATCCTTATGAAAATGTCTCTAATGACAGAGGTCCCCAGAAATGGAATTCTTAACAAAAGAAAAGTAAAGAAGATAGAAGAACAAAACCTACTAAGTAAAGCCAGCACTTTAGATGCTGATGGGATCCACCAGGAACATTTTGTTAGGGGTGGAAATTCTTCAGGCTTTGCCGGAAACAGTCGTAAAGAAATAAACTGCAGCAATCTCTCTACCAATTGTTTGAACCTCTTCTGGGATAATCTGGTAAAGATTTTGAAATAATTCCAATCAGAATTCACATTGTCTATTCTGGCAATATATTCATTAGATAGTAAAGTGCATTCTATATGCATAACCTTTTAGAATATTCCCCCAAATTCTATTTCTAAATTGCCAAACATTTGAAAAGATGGAAAATCTCACCTGGATTATTACTTTTTAATTGAATAAGAAATAAACATTAATATTACTATAAAGTTAGTATTAGCAAAAAACATTTCATTTTATGCTCAAAACTCAGGTGTGTAAAGGCTTTTAACAGTCAATTCTATTATTCAGTATGTGCAAACTCACCTATTTGCTAAAATTAATTGTAACCCCCAAATTGATAATGTGGCTCTTTCACTGTCACTTGTAGATGTGCAAACAGTGGCAAAAAATTTTAGTTGCCCAATGTGCACATTCTCAGCTGATGCTGAAAAAGAAACACTGTCTTATTCTAGCTCTCATGCTGTAAGCAGTCTGCATAGTGTCACATTTTCCACATTTTTGTGCTTTTTGTTAGTGATTTTGCTATTTTAAAATGGCCCCCAAATGTAGTGTTAAAGTTTTGTCTAGTCTTCCTAAGTACAAGGATGTTGTATGCCATACAGAGAATACACTTGTATTAGATAGCATTTGTTCAGACATGAATTATAGTGCTGTTGGTTGTAAATTCAATGTTAATGAAACAATGATTTATCTTAAACTAGTGGTCTGGGGCATGAAATTTGTGCACATTAAAAGGGAATTGATTAGAGGAAATATTTTAATATTGCTATTTGCCCTTTCTTTATAATAGAAGTGTCAAAGATGAAAGAAAATTAGTAAAATGTATATGAAAATTTCCCTCCTGTCAGTCAGGGGCATGCTCGGGACTCAGAGTCAAGACCCTGCCCACCTGCATGTGCCTCAAAATTGTGTGAGACCCAGACATGGCCGGCCCCACCCCTGACAAGACCCGCTGGGCAGGGGTGGGGGCGCGAGGGCAGTGCAGCCTCAGTTCCCCCAACCTGGCCTCAGGTCCCACGGCCCCGGGGCGGGGGTCACAGCCTCAGATGCCCTGGCGTGAGGGTGTGATGACCATTTGCATATGAGCTCTTTATTATATAGGATAAGATGTTATTAAAAAGAAGTACAGGTAAAGCAAGGTTTTGTAGTCATCAGCTGATGAAAATGTTGACCTTAAAGCTCGCAGGAGCCTAATGCTATGTTTCCTTTAGGGGCAATAGTTTAGTATTCACTAATTCACTGTTTGCAGTACATTTATAGAACGTAGAGATCCAGTGCACGAATTCATGCATCAGTGGGGTCCCCTGGCTTGGCCTGAGGGATTAGGCCGAAACCAGTTCTCCAAGATCCCCAAGGGGTCCCAGACTGCAAGAGGGTGCAGGCCAGGCTGAGGGACCGCACTGGTGCATGATTGGGGACAGGGAGGGAAGTGGGAGATTGGCCCGCCAGGGAGGGACCACAGGAGGGCTCCAGGGCATATCTGGCCTGTCTGGCTCGGTCTCAGACCCCAGCAGCAAGCTAACCTACTGGGTGAAGTGTCTGCGCCCTGATGGTCAGTGCATGTCATAGCGAGTGGTTGAGTGGCCTTAGCATATCATTAGCATCTTACACTTTGATTTTGTTGAAAAGCCGACCAGAAGGCTGGACACTTAGCATATTAGGCTTTTATTATATAGGATACTACTGTGAATAATGAGAATTGACTATATTTTAAAATTAATTTTGAAAATATTTTGTATCTATAATTGTTACCAATCATGAAGAAAAGTATTTGTTGATGGAGTATACTATGAAAAAAGTATGGAACCTTCATAAATTGATATTGATGGCTAATCTACATTTTATAAAGATGCTTTTGGGGAAGGAAAAACACCTTATAAATAATGGTGGCATTTATATTGATACAGAGACAGGAAATAAAAAGACACAGTTTAAAATACTAATGTCTGAGCAAATCCAGGCACCATCTATGAGATGTTTGAAATACCAGTGATAGAAATGCACTGTATAAAAGCAAGAGCAGTGGACAGAAATCTCAACCACATCTTGTACAAGCAAAATGGTTACCAACATTAGAAACAGATTTTTAATTACCTTCTATGTAGTACTACAATATATATATATGTATATAATTGCCTTTTGAGGCACTGTGAAGTATAAGTATAAATATATTTAATTCATAGCAAACTTAAAACTCCAAGATTATGGAAGTTCTTAATATCATAGAAGGACTTACTTTTTAACCCAGTGGATTAAGAAATGATGGTCAGCTTCCACTAAGGCAGCTATCTGTCTTAGCAAGTGGGCATAGATGACGTATGTAGATGTGTTATTAAACTGAGGATTCTAAAAAAGATATTAGAAGTAATTGTGTTAAAATACTGTTAACATGTAAAAAGAAAGACACTAAGCTTAATGAGCTAAGTGGTAAATTCAGAAGATGAGACTTGAAAGTATGAAATACTAGGTGAAATCCTTTAAAACAGTAATCTATTTGTTTAATTATTTAATTAGCAGAGATTTGGTTCTACTATGATACAGTGGAAAGATCATGAGCTTCAGAATTGAGACAGACCTGAGTCTGAGTGAGCAGAGCTTTTTGCTAATATATGTCCTCAAAAACTTGAGCTTCATGTTGTTTTCTAGCATTCACTATCTCAACATATATATCCCCCCGCCCCCAGTTTTGCCTTTCTCCCTATTTTCTTTCCTTACATTTCTCCACTACTTCTTGTCTATTCCTCCCCCCACACACTTTTCTTTTTTCCTCTCTTCCCACTTCTCTATCTTTACCCTGCATATTTCTTCTTATTGGACACAGTAATGAACTAAACACTGTCTTATTTAATTAATTTTTTTCTTGCCTTTAAATGAGGTAGTAACATATTTGCACATTTTGCAAATTGTAAAGAATGATACAGATGCAGTATGCTAACTATGGTAATAATATAATTCTTCCTTAAAAATAGTAAAAACTAAAAATTACTTTTCATTTGTCTGGACTTTATTTTTTCTATCTGTGAATCTGTAGCTCTCAAGAAGAAATAAGTTCATCATCTTTGTTTTGCAAATATAAACCACTTTGATTTTCCTATTCATATTCTAGCTCAAGCATTTATTGAAAATTCATAGAGAAGTTGGAAACTTACTACTTAGAAAATAAAAGAACGTTTTGGAGCCCATTCTAGTTATAAGAAAGGAGATTAATTGGAGGGGGAAGATGTTCTTCTCTTCTGTTTGTGCCCAATACCACAGCAGGAAGGCAAGAATTAAAAATTTAATCCCAAAGATAAATTAGCTTCCCACTGTTTCTTTTTGTAGCTTTTTTTTCTATAACTACAAGTAACTACAATCCAAAAGTAGCAATAATGTTGCTGAGAAGAATACTTAATATTTGATATAATTTCACCTATATACATGCATAGACTGAGGGTTAAATTAGATAACTAATTTGCTTTCTTACCTGTAAAAGTATAAAATATGCTCTAAGATCATCTTTTGTCCGTGGACTGAAAAAGAAACATAATTGATTAGAGATTACAGTATATAATAAAAAATGATCCATTAATATTTCTGTGAGAATTAGTTGATAAAAGCCAAAAACTAGACTTAAGTAAATATATATTATTATTGAGACAGTAACATATCTCTGATATGCTGAGAATATAGGTTCCTGTGTGCCTATTCTAGGCTGATTCTAAAGATACCTAAAAACAGAGTTAACTTTCTATTATATTTTATGAGGTAAATATCACGATTAACTCTAGAAACAGTTTAGAGTCTGGAAAATAATTAACAATTTTAGAATACTTATGTTTTTGTTTTAATAAAGGATAACAGATATCAAAAGTATTTATGCATTGAAAAAATAGGCTTGTGAGTACAGTTCTATTACTGAAGCGAAAGATGTAGAAGTGTCTGCAGGTCAAATCACACTTTGAATACATCTAGTACATTTCTAATGAAAAGAATCTTATTTTGAATACCTCTGAAAAGCAACTAATTTTTAACCTGTGCCATGCTAATCTGGATTTCCACATGATCAAATTTGACCAAGTTTTTATTCCCCAAGCTGATGACTGTTACTTGCCCTCTCAAGATCTATTAAATACACTGACAAACACTCAGAAGTAAGTAACTTCTTGCATTACAAATGGTTCCCCTATGTGATAACTAGATGCAATTAATGATCCTTGATTGGATCCTGGATTGAAAAATAAAATCCAGATATTAAAGAACACTTTTGAGCCAATTATGGAAATTTAAATATGGACTGTATTTTAGAGAGTATTAAATGAATATTTAGTGTATTATGGTCACAGAGAAAAATGTGATTAGGAAATACATGCTGAAGTAATTAGGGGCAAAGTATCATGATGCCTTCCATTTACTAAAAACACATTCCATGCAGAGGGAGAAAAAGTTAAAAGCAAATGTGGCAAAAAGTGAACAACTCGTGGATTCAGATGATGGTGAATGAGTTTTCACTATCTTTAACTTTCTGTAATTTGAAATTTTTCAAAATTCAATGTTGGGGGGGAAATGGTTCATCTCCAAGTATCTCCTTAAATTTCCTTTAAGAAAATAAAATGATGAAATAATGATTTACTTTTCTGTTATAGTTATAAATTAATTATGAAAATATAAATCATTGCCCAAAATGTACTAGATGACCTTTTCAAAATTAAAGCCACATAATCTGAAATATAACTGTGTATTACATATATATATTAAAATTAGAAATAAATATGTATATGCTTGCATATATAACATTTTAAAATTAGTAATATTTCTTTGTAGGAGAATTATCTCAATGAAATAGTGATTTATATTATTTTAGGTTTAAGTCAAATAGAAACCATTTCTGTCTGTAATATTCTACATAATTTTCAGACTATTTTCTAAATGGACTAATGTTTTAGAAATTATTTTTGAAAATATTTTAAAACACTCAAGGCAATTCATAAATATTAAAATTTCTGGTGACGGAGAGTCCTACTTTTTCCCATTTTATAGCTGCACCATTGTGATTTCCAGTTCTCTGGCCTATGCACTAGTATTTCAGTACAGTATACAGTTCGGGCTATAGAAATTATGGTTAAGATCACAGGCCAAACTGCCTGGCTTCTAATCCTGACTTACTGGGTTATTTTGGGCAATTTACTCGGCAAATTTTCTCAACTGTAAAATGAAAATAATCATATTACCTATTTTATAGAATTGTAGTAAAGATTCAATGAGAAACACATGTAAAATTGTTCGGAGGGTACTTAGCCCATTAATAGTCAATAAACTATATTTTGTTGTTATAATAAATCCAAAATAAAACAAGATTTTTAGGTACCGAACACACATTCCTCAGAAACATGAGTCCTATCACATTGTCATTTTAATCTGTATTGGACACTCTTTTCAAGAGCAGAGAGGGGAAGCTTATTAGAGGGGACTGAGATCCCAGCAGTTTCAGACCACTGTACTTTCTCATTCTCCTAAAAATGCTCTTTACATTCTAATTTTCTCTTCATTTTTAATGAAGCATTATGTGTTCAACCAAAAATACAAAATTTAAGGAAAATGCAAATATATTAGTAGAATGATAAATTAGGAAAAACACTGTTTAAGTTAAAAAATCATATGAAATTATATATTATTATTTTAATTATTTTAAAGAGGACTAGACAAAAATAGCAAAATGTAAACATTTTTACTTTTTTTTTTTTACACTACTCTGGCTTTTAAAAATTTTCTATAATAACTAGGCATCTCTTTGAAAATTTATTAAATTTTGAACAATGTTTTTAAAATATATAAGGTACATTTGACATTATATTTAAGAATTCTAGTTTGGTAATATTTTTAGACTGGGTTTAATATAAACATGTAAATTATAATATTATGGTATTCTTATGGCTTTATCGAAGCTATTATTGAAATCACAGTGCTGTTTAAACAATATCAGTTTAAATATGTACTTTTGAAAGCATATTTTTATATTCTACATATTCTTAGTTCAAAACATTATCAATTGCATTGTCCATCACTCTTTAAATAATGATTCTATATTTGATTCTAAGAAAAAACATTTTAGCTGTTAAACTTACATTTCCTTATATTAGAAATAAAAAAAAATTTTGCTTTGACTATGAAAAAGTCCAAGACTAAATTTAATGCCCATATTATTTCATATTTGTATAGCACTCATGTCTGTATGCAACAAATTTTACATACGATGTTAAAGGATTCAGAGATCTTTTGAAGCCCACCCATAGACCCTCCTGGGAAGTCACAAATCTCAAGTTTAAAAACTTTTTTTGTAAATTGTTTATAACTTCTTTCTCATCTTTGTTTTTATTACAACTAAAACTGACTCAGGGTAAAATACATACTTATGTAACATAAGATGTATGAGATGTATAAACTAACCATCTGTACTGACTAGCTAGATATTAATTACAATTACCCTTTCCATTCTCGTAACAAGCTGTTAATGATTCCCTTTAATACTGTCTTCTGAATGTCTTGAGGCTGTAGGCAAAAGAAAACCATAAAATAATTAGGATTAGCTACTAGAGTGACTTTTTAAACATTGTTTATCCATTCACCTATTAAAGGATATCTGGGTTACTTCCAATTTTCAGCAATTTTGAATAAGGTTGCTATAAAATTTGTGTGAGGTTTTTGGGTGGACATACGTTTTGAATCATTTGGGTAGACAACTAGGCACGACTTCTGGGTCATATTGTAAACTTGTTTAGCTGTGTAAGAAAATGAAAATATAACTTATTGAAATTTGTGGGATACAGCAAAAGTAGTGAATGAATGTATTAGACAAAAATATCTAAAATAAGTGATTTAAGCTGTTAATCTTGGGAAATTAAAACTGGAAATCAAGTCCAAGTAATCAGAAGAAAATACATAATAAAGGTTAGAAGAGAAATCAATATAATTGAAAACAGGAACTAATAGAGAAAAAGCAATAAAACCAAATGCTAGTTTTTGGAAAAAATTAATAAAGTTGATGAACCAAGAAAGGAAGATTAAAGAGAGTAATTACTAATATCAGAACTGAAAACAGGATCATCAGTACTGATACTGGACACTGAAAGGATATCAGAGAAATATTGTGAAAAACTCTGTGCCCACAGTTTAAAACCTAGATAAAACAGACCTAGTCTTTGGGAGATACAATTTCCCAAAGGTCACACAGAGAGACAGCGATAATTTGAATGGACCTATATTTTTTAAAGAAACTGAATCAATGATTAATAACTTTGCAAAACAAACACCAGGCCCAGAAGATTTAACTGGTGAGTTCTACTGAAAATTTAAGAAAGGAAGGATACCAGTTCTTTACAATTTCTTCCAAAGACAGAAGATAAAATACTTCCTAACTTATTCTATGATGTCAGCATTATCCTAATACTAACTTAAAGATATTACAAGAAAAAAATTACAGATCAATATCTCTTCTGAACACATATGTAAAAATCCTCAACAAAGTCTTAGCAAATCAAATCCAACAATGTATATAAATTATTATACACCATGATCAAGTGGGACTTATTCCAGATGTGCAAGGCTGGCTCAACACTTGAAAATCAATTAATGTAACTCATCACATCAATAAGCTGAAGAAGAAAATATCATATCAGTAGCATTGAAAACATTTGATAAAATATAACACCAATTCATGATAAAGCCTCAGCAAACTATTATAGGAATGGAGGGAAATTTCCTCAGTTTGGTAAAGAATACCTACAAAAATCCTTGAGTCAACATAATTTTAATGGTGAAAAATTGATAGGTTCATCTTGTATTTTCCCTATCTCAGTCCTGGAATTAGCCATTTCTCCAGGGAGCTCTGGTAGAAACCATGCATGCTAAAGTGCTCATTGCTACTGGGTGTTAACTGCTTCTAGGCCCTTTCAGAGAATAGGGTTAGGAAACACACACATGTACACACACACACACACACACACACACACACACACACACATCCATATCCACCTATTAAAGTCCATGAGTTCATTATTATGTCTTAATGCCAAAAACTAAGAAAAACAAAAAATTTGTTTACGTATTTTAAAAAAATCTTTAGGCTGAAGATACATAAAATACTGTGTAGTATAAAAGTTACTTGGCTTAGTTTTTTAAAGACATGATTTTAATATTCGAAGTATAGCTAGGTGTTTTTTTTTTTCTTAACTATATTACATTTTAAAGGATTTTTCCCTCATGTTGTATATTTCTAATTTTTTAAATGCCTATAAAATACTAATATCATTCCAAGTCAGAGAAGTGTCCCAGGAGTGAAACTTTTAGGTCACAATGTATGCATAAGCAAAATGTGTTAGCAATAATGCCCAGCAGTTTTCCAAAGTATTTGTTTATACTTACTCAATCAAGCTACAGATGTTCTAAGTGCTCCACAATATTGCCTATTCTTGGTAAGATTCTTAATTTTTTTTTTAATTTTTATTTTTTACTAATTTTAAATGGATATATAATCTTATCTTCATTTCTCTAATGACAAATGTTATTAAGTACCCTTTCATATATTTAATTGTGAAGTACTGAGGTTAGCAATAAGCAAGAATGTCTGCTATAACTTATTTAAAATTATATATAAAAGGCAAATACAACTATGCAGGCATACATAGGTACAAGGATTGGAAAGAGAGAAAACTCATTTTTCACAAACAACTTGATTGTCTACAGAGAGTATCCACATAAATCTGATGTACTGTTAGAATTAATGAATAAATTTAGCATGGTAGATGAAGATAAATATATGAAGTTATTTCCATACCAGTAACAATTAGAAAATGAAATTACAATAGGATAAAAAAAAAATCAAGTACCTAGAAGTAAATGTCATAAGATATGTCAGACCTTTACTCAGAAAACTGAAGTATTACCAAGAGAAATTTAAATAAGTTTTAAATAATTGGAGGGATATACCATGCTCATGGACTGAAAGGATGTCAATTCCTCACATACTGATCTATAGCGTGGGATTCTCTAAATGTGATCCCTGGATCAGGAGCATCAACATATCCTGGGAACTTGTTAGAAACACAGATCCTTGGGCTCTAACCCGGACATTCTGAATCTGAAAGTCTGCATTGTAAGAAACCCTTTCTGTGACTCTGATATATGATAAAGTTTGAAAACCACTCATCTGAGGTTCAATTCAGTGCCTATACAATCAAATAACTGACATCCTTTTGCTTAAGTGAAGCATAATTTTACGTTAGTAAGCCTCCCTAATACAGGGACTGGACATAAATGCATTTTTTGCTTAATTCTCATTTAGTTGTAAAAGTAAAAACAATTTAACTTTCTGAGAATTCCAACTAAATTTACTATAAAATTACTTCAGAGTGATTTTTACAATATTTGTGTAGCTGCTTTTGAAATACAGAAGCGACAAAGAATTATATTACTTGCATATGTTCATAAATAATACTTACAGTATTAAGTAAGGCATCATATACAGCATTCACAAATTTAGCATTAATCCCAGAATCTTCAGTGGTATTAAATGAGGTGGTAGTATCTTTCTGCAAATTCAATTAAAGAATTAAGTGTATATAAAATTTTAAGGACTGTTCTTAGTCATATTTGAATCATAATAGTTCCTTCATAATTTCTAATATTTTCTAGTATGATAATAAAGAACATTCAGGGCAAAACTGCTAAAATAAAAAATGAAGGGAGAGGTGGGGGAGATAAGAGATCAACTGAAAGACTTGTGTGCATGCATATAAGCATAACCAATGGACACAAAACTCTGGGCGGTGAGGGCATGTATGGGAGTGGGGTGGGGGGAGCAATGGTAAGATATGTACACATATAATACCTTAATAAAAAAAAATGAAAAAAAAGAAGTAATCCTCCCCCCCAAATAAATGAATATAAAAGAATCATTTTAACTTAAAACTGAAAGAATGGAAACAAATATTAGCATTTAATACAAATTAAGATATCACTTAAGTAATATTTGTGATACAAGTAATTTCAGAAATTAATACATATATATTTTTTAAACAGTTGCTTAAGTCAATATTAGGTAGAAAAAAGGGGTAAAGTTGTCTATTTTTTTAAAATTTAAAATGGAAAATGTGTTTTATGTATTATTACCTTAAATGCAGCATTTAGTTCTGGGAAAGAATCAAATGTTGTTAGATAAAAATCATGTACTGCTTTCCAATCTCCTGACGACTTAGATTTTTCTACATCTTCCCTAAAATGAAAACATACACTAACTATAATAGAAGGAAATATTATTCAGATAAAATAGCATTACTTCTTTACACATAAATGTCACCAAACATGCAACTTGATATAATGAAGCTGAATACAGAAACATGTTCCAGTTAATGTAAATATGATTTATGGATCGGTAATCCTTAATTAGATTGAGATATTTTAAAAAGATATATATTTTATTGATTTTGTACAGAGAGGAAGGGAGAGAGATAGAGAGCTAGAAACATCTATGAGAGAGAGTCATCAATCAGCTGCCTCTTGCACACCCCCTACTGGGGGAATGCTCGCAACCAAGGTAGCATGCCCTTGACCAGAATCGAACCTGGGGCCCTTCAGTCCCCAAGCCGACGTTCTATCTATTGAGCTAAACCGGTTTCGGCTAGATTGAGATATTAATCTGGCTTTAGTTTTTCCATTTACTTGCTTATTGAAAAGTTCATTCTTGACATGCTTATTACAAGTAATACTCTTCACTTCAGAGCCCAACGTCTTGAGAGATACTGTTTATATTGTCTCTTCTTTCTCATTATTCCTTTGCTCCTTCAAATATTCAGTTGAATTTTTTTAGTAGTGACATAGATTTAATAGTTCATGCATTACATAGCATACAAAATCTTACTTTTAAAAAAGTGAAACATTCTATTATTTTATTACTACCTTTGTCTCCTGCTTTGCCTGTTTTGATTCATATTCTCTTATTTAGTGTTTCTTTTGCTGCGACATCATCTACCCCTCCTGTTTCTTACATATTTATTTTCACCTTCCACTTGAGACATCTAGTCTTTTGTGACTACACTCTTGGCTAATACCTTATCATGATCCACAAGATCAATTGCTCACACAAACCTATTAAATGATATAAAGTACTGACATGCCGATAACTATATGCCTAATATAGTAGTGAGCTGCAGCTTACTGAAAGTCTTTCATAGTTCTGGGCTGGACAGGAAGGGCAGACTCTGGAGGAACTGAGGCCTTTATTTCCAATGATGCGTCTGTAGAGATACGCTGCTTCTGTCTAACATCAAGGCAAACTGGTGGTGGGTCTGTCGCTGTGAAGCATAAAAAAGTATTCAGTGTAATTTAATCATAAAAATTTCTCCACATTATAAACTTAACATGAACAGAAAACAAATGAATTATTTTGTGTTGCATTCACCTTGGGGTCATATGACAGAAAGACCTACCATAGGGAAGGGCACTTACAGTATGTCTATCGCCCCTACCCCAACTTCACCCATAGCAGATATTGGGCTGTATCTTACATTAAAAGTTATCTACAGATGTAAAACAGTTTCTTTCCCCTGCTCTTTCCCCAAAAGTTGTCTTTCAAAGAATATTTCAGTGAGATTCAGTGTTTTAAGTGTTTCTTAGTTCTTTGAATATGCCCAAATCATTTATTTGCATTCCCAGCAATTCCTTCTGGTCTCCATGGTTACTACGATAAATCTGCTGTTATCCGAATGATTTTCCCCTGTCTAGGTAAGTTGTCATGTTTCTCTGGCTGCTTTCCAACATTTTTTTTTTTTTTTTGCTTTACTTTTAGAGATTTAATTATATGTCCTAATGTGGATATTGTTGGGTTTATGCTGTGCACGGTTTGCTCATCTTCTTGAACCTCGAGGCTTATCTCTCTTGGACAAATGTAGGAAGCCTTCATTTGAGTACTTTTCAGCCTATGCTCTTTTTTCTCTCCTTCCAAGACTCCTATGACAAGGATGTAACATCTTTTGTCATAGTCCCACAGGTCTCTTGAGCAATTTTTTTTTCTTTCCAGTCTATTTTCTCTCTGTTGTTTAGACTGGGTAATTTGCATTGCTCTATATTCCATCTCATTAATTCCTGTTCTTTCATTGTGCTGTTGAGCCCATCCTCTAAGCATTTTATATTGGTTATTATATTTTCTCAAGTATTGATATTTCCAAGCCAATAGAATAGATTAGTATCTTATAGACTCTAAATTATACAATAAGGAAATGTACATATCTTGAATTTAATTTTCCTTTAATATAATCAGGATATATTTTCAAGTAAGCAAACAGCCGTATCACTTATTGCAGCGCTAACATAGCTCTGCTGTCTTCCTGCCTCTCTTATCCACTCTCCCAAACAAGCACCTATCCTTGGGGTCTGCCACTGACCTCAGCAGACTATGATACATTTTATCAGTGTTAAGATCTATAATAAAGTAAATTTCATATTAGAAGGTAGTACAGAAGGTAGTACATTTTCTTAGACTCAACAGTAAGGGTTTGTAAACTTACTGTATAACAGAATCACCTGGAGAGCCTGTTAAGACACAGATTATGAGGTCCTTCCCCAAAGTGTGTGATTGAGTAGCTCTGGTAGGGGCATTTCTAACATGTTCCCAGATGCTGCTGATGCTGCTGGTCTGAGGGTCACACCAAGAAACACTGCTCATCAGCTTTAGGAGAGCAGTGATGCTGACAATATAAAACACGTGACTAAACTTGTTTCATTCAGGTCTATAATTGGTTTTTATATTCTTTACTACATATGAAAATATCCAACTTCTAGTAATTTGTACTTCAAGTACAAATTGGACAGAAGCTCAGTTTAGTAGCAAAGTAAAATTAGGTTATCTCAACAAATGATTTCTTATGTTCAGAAATCTTTCCTAATGGGAAAGAAATAGATGATACATAGTCTCCTTTCTCCAACACCAAACAGTATTGTTACTATTACCTTTTGAGGTTCCTCTACAGTTTCTCTTCCTCTTCACCAGATAGCATTCTTTCCTGCTCTTTCCCACACACACCTTTCCTAACCTGGCTGTAAACACCCACTATTAGATACAAACAGACTCTGATTTCAAAAATAAATTAACTTATTCACTCACAGAACATATATGCACATTTCTATACCCAGTAATTTTTATTAAGACCATGCTGAGGTGAAAGAGTGCAATTTAATTAGGAAGAGAACTGGATTTTGGCAAAGCCAAGAGTGGTGAGATTCTTACGTAGGAGAACTAGTAATGCCAAGGCCAAGAGAATTACAGGATGAGGTCTGAACCAGAGGCCCAGTTGGGAGTTATTTTTAGTTCCAAAGGTAATGTGGACTGAAGAGTAATGTGAAATGTAGCGTACTATGTTAATGGAACTTGAGTCAGAAATAAAAGCAGAATCCTTTGCTCACATTAGTGAATGAGAGCCAAACTACAGGATGTGACATTGAGCTATTAAAAAAGGAGGTTTAAAAGCTTGCAGCTGCTCTCATGTTCCCGAATATCAAGGCATTGTCTCCAGAGACAGGCTTTCAGCTTGTTCTCCCAGATGGTTATTATAGTCTAATTCAAGAGAGAAAATCAATAACTGTGGTGATAAAATTAATTAAATTTCAAACTGATATTATAAATAGAACAGGCGAATCTTTGTTCTATCAGATGGAGCTTTTTCTGCAGTGCAGAATACTGTAATACACTGAAAAAGGCAAAAATATACTTATCAGTGAAAACCTGTCATTTAGGTTTCATTCAGCCAATAGTTGGGAACGCTCTGTGCTAAAAGGATAAGCAGTAATCATTTCCCCTTTCTTTTAATAGTGTTGCCAATTTTAGTTGGTTGCTTAGAAACATTCAGTAAAACACTTGAAGCCAGTGCAAGAAGAGTCAAAGTCATGGTGGAGGCTGGCAGTATATTTTTAAAAATGTAAAGATCATAATACAACTATGTAGAAGGGCATGAGATTATCAGGCACATTTTGCCAGCTCAGTGTTTTCAAGGTGCTATCATAGGCTGACTCTCATTGAAAACTAGTAACATGGCTTTCCGTAACTGTAGCCACCAAAATGAAGACAGACATTTGAAATTGGCCCTATGATTAAGAGATGGAAGATTGTTCCTGGCCAGCCAGACAAATGGCAGCAGCATTTTCCGAGGGAAACAGGAGTCTCTGTGTAGGTTGGTGTTTGGTAGAAGGAACCTGGGCCTTGGGGTTCCTTATTCCCCTACTGCTGGAGGGGAAAGGCTGATAGAAAAGGTTTGCTGCTGGTGATACGCTGTTGCAAAGTGCTACACCCTAAGTTTCTTTTCAAATAATTTGTAATTGATAATAATGGAAAAAACACCAGTAGGGACAAGATCCTACTACTAGACAGTTACTAACTTTCACAATGTTCACAAGCCATTGAAACTGCTTAGGTCTCAGTTTTGACATTTTGAAAGAGATGACTTAAATCAGTTGTTCCCAAAGTTCTGGAGACCTTCAAGGGCCACCTCAGGGAAGTGGGGCTGCATGAACGCGTTCACTCACAGCGGCTCAGCCCACTATACTCCTTTCCCCACAACACAGGTGCTCACGTTCACTAAACTCCATAAGGCAGGGAACCCAACACTTACAAATGCTGTTTTTCATGTATCTTTACACCTTATGAGGTCGCTCCTCAATAGCCTATTTTATAGATGGGAAAACTGGCACAGAGAGGTTACATACAGCTGGTAAGTTACTTTTCCAGGATCATACAGCTGGTAAGTTATAGCAGAGCCAGGATTCAAACTACTCTGTTACGTTACAAAACCCATGTTATTCCCACTATCAAGTAATGTGAAGCCTTCCATCATGTCTAAAAACAAGTAGCATCTGGGGTAGATAAGAGATCAACCGAAGGACTTGTATACATGCATATAAGTACAACCAATGGACATAAAACTCTGGGGAGGGAGGGCATGTATGGGAGGAGGGGGGCAATGGTATATGTACAAAGATAATAATTTAATTAAAAAAATTTTTTTAATAAAAGATAAAATAAAAACAAGTAGCAAAACTGAGCCCTACCTTTACATGGAAGTAGGTGCTAGTTAATTAAGAAATGTCAAACAAAACAAAACTTAACAGGGAGAAAAAAAATCAGTATGTTGGAAAATTAATCCTCTAAATTATAGAAGGTATTTTATAACTCTTATTGCCCCATTTCCTCTTTCTGTAAATGAAGGCTCATGAGAATTAAGTTTGTCTCAGGTCACAGTGCCAGTTACTGGGAGTAGGTAGTTCAATACTTTGGTTTTGCTTTTGACTACTTACTAGTGGCAGGGAACTGAAACTGGGGAGACCAGAGTGGATTACTCATCACAGTTGATGTTTATATTACTCTATAGCATGGGTTTTCTGAACATTTGGAAAGAAATAAAATTGAGGTGGGAGAGAGAAATGAAGGAAGAGGGGGATAAGACTCTGACTCACAGGATATTAGCCATCAGAGCCAAATAAAACGTACATTCACTGGTTTGGGGAGATATAATTTTTACTAAGCTAAATGATGTGTTTGCAAAACCACAAAAAAAAAGCATAGGTGAAATGTTCTTGTATGGGTCTAGTTATGAAAATATCCAAAGTCCTCTTCATAGAAGGTCATCTCTGATGAATAGATGCCTTATTCTGGCATAACTTAGAGAATTAATTATAGCCTTAGATGGGTTTGACATTCCAACAGGGCAAAATGACCAGAAAGCCAGAAAAAGTGCCTCCCATATACTTCCTCACTGAGTAAGTAATTTATAGTACTGAGTAAAGACTCCATGTACCAGGGGATCTGGATCCTGGAGCTACACAGGTGAATTCAACACTCAAGTAGATGTAAATGTATTTACTTTCAAACCCAACAATTCAACTTGAAGGAATATCTAATAGATATAACTGTATGTGAACAAAATGACATGTATAGAGTCATTGTTTACAATAGCAAAAGAATGAACACGACTAATTTCTTTTACTAAGATCTTATTAAATAAGTTTTAATGTGTTAATGCAATATGGTTGTAAAAAAGAATAAGGAAGCTCCTTATATCCTAATATGGAAAGATATCCAGGATACAATAACTAAAAAACCCCACAAAAACAAGGTGCTGGACAATGTGTATGTAGTTACTGTTTCATTAAGAAAAGGTGAAAAATGAGAGTATATATTTACATGTTCTCATTTTTACAAAAAACACAGGAAAGAATACAAAAGACAGCAGAGAAGAGGATGAAAATGAGCCATCTGAAACACCTATTTTTATGGTTTTGATTTTTGAAACACATAAATGTGTTACTTATTCAAAATAATTAACTTTAATATAAAAAATTAAAAAGGATGGCCCTTTCCCTCTTCAAAAGAAAAGCTTAGGGCACTTACAGACCAGTAAAGACACAGACAAGTAAATAACGAAATGCAGCAAGGTATTCGGAGTTCTTGATAGGTACATCTCTCCCAGAGCCTGGGTTAAGCAAAGCCATGTGCAAGGTACTCACTCTGACCTAGGGAAGGATCTAAGAGATTTAGTCCCAAATCCATTCATTCTCCAGGGAGACGTGGAGATGGGGTCATGTGAGGTCTTGGACAGGAATCTGAAAGCAACTGCTGTATTGCAAGTCCCGTTCTCTTCCCAGATGGCACGTCCTGTGCAGGCTCTCTTCTAACAGCTTGCTTCCCCACCTGCCTCTCAAGTTGCTCTTGGAGAAACTGTAAAACTTTGTGGTACTTCACCTGCGAAGGCCCCAATCACAGATCCGAACACCGTTTGAGCCGAAGACCACTCTGTCCTCCCTTGGCTATTTCAGCGTGGCAGAGGTCACCAGATGCCTTTCTGCAGAGTGTGTGAACTGCATGCAGGGCTCTTTTAGAGTCAGCTCACGAGATAGACTGAGTGGGGAGAGGAGCCGGGCCCCTGACATGAATGTCAGAGTTCGTGTCTACTCTTTACTGAATGACCCAGGAGTGCAAAGGTATTTTTAAAGATTTGGGGAGAAATTGATTCATTCCTTTTAAAGATGTTCTGTGCTGTTTAAAGAAGTTTTAAATAAGTCTGAAAGGGGCATAATCACTTTAGAAAGGAGGATGCAAAAGAGTAAGAGAGAAATTAGTGCTCCCCCCTCCCCCCATCACTTCTCATGTAGATTACTTCTCTAAAGATGTATCATCCCGGCAGCTGTTATAGTAGGTAAAACTCCCACACTTGCTGATCTTGAAAAGGACAGCCAACTCCACAGGCATACCACGTCATGCAGTCTACAGGAGGAAAGGCATCCCTCAGCTGCTGGGCGAGCCCACGCTGGGCTTTTGCAGCTTCTCTCATCCCACTTGAAGATCAGACTGGGCGACAAGCTGTTAGAAAATACCGGCACAGGTCTTGCTATCAGAGAAGAGGGAAGAAAGCTGTACTAACTGCCAGGAATGATGCATCATTGAGAGAACGCTACTGGCAAGTAAGAGAGGCTTCCCAAAAGATCAAGGGATTATAAACATGTTTACATTGGAAGACTTAGTCTAATTCCCCGTCAGTAAAAGAATTCTTTCTGCAGTAGCCCTGACATACTAACCACATGCCTCACCTGAATTCAGGTGGCATCTGGACAGAACAGCTAGGAGCTCCAAGACGGTAAAGAAAGTCTGCTAAGAGATCTATTCCTCTAGACTGGCAGGTACAAACACTCCAGTTTCTGTTGGGGCTGCATCAACACTCCACAAGACTGGTGCAGATGAGAGTGGAGAGGAAAGCCCACATGTGGTGGGAGCTCAAGTAAGTGGACATATTCAGTCAATACTTCCACCGAAACCGGTTTGGCTCAGTGGAAACAGTGTCGGCCTGCGGACTGAAAGGTCCCAGGTTCGATCCCAGTCAAGGGCATGTACCTTGATTGCGGGCACATCCCAAGTAGGAAGTATGTAAGAGGCAGTTTATTGATGTTTCTCTCTCTTCGATGTTTCTAACTTTCTATCCCTCTCTCTTCCTCTCTGTAAAAAATAAGTAAAATATATTTTAAAAAAAAAATACTTCCACCCAAGGAGGTGGCAGGCAGCGTGTGGGCATACAAGTTAGCAAGTTGTGTTCAGATACCAAGATACCAGTACAGACAGAACAGATTATAGGAATCAGTGTGGAATCAGGGGCTAGGAAATCTGAACCAAAAGTCCACACAAAGAAGGTTATGGGATAATGTAAATACTACCCTGAAAGAGTGTAGAATAGGTTCAGTACCAACTTGAGGTGTCAACAAAAAACCTGTGCAGAAGTAATCAACACCACATGCAGTTTATGGATACAGCCAATTTACCGGAAACTATGTCCTTAATCATTTCTAGGTTTGTTTTGTTCTGCTCAGGTGTGAGGGACATTTAAACTTTTTGCAGATTTGTTTTGTCTTGTGATACATTTTCTGTGATAAAACAATACAGAGTTGTACATAGAAATAGAACATATTAATAATATGCACACAATCCCACTTTTTCTGAGGAAGGCACTAATGGAATGGTTTCTGTTACCTCTTTATATGCTCAAAAATCTTGAAAAAATTGGAGTCATATTCCACCTGTTAATGTAAAACTTGCATTTTTCATTTTACAATGTACTGAAAGCATTTCTCCTTGATACTTCATATACATACCACATTTTTCTTGATAGAATCATAGTGTTTACAGTACGGATTACCATAATTTAGTTAGCCCATTCACTTAGATTGCTTTAAATATAACTATTATAAATAATGTACATTCTTTCCATGTTATGCTATTTCCTTAAAATAAATTCCTAGAAATGGAATTACGGAGTCAGTGAGTATATGAACATTTTAAACTGCACTTTATGTCATGCAGGGCTATAAGGTCAATAATTTGCCTTCCAGAAAGGTTTTTATCCATTCTTAAGCCATCCACTCATAAAAGTGCCAATTTTCATGCTCTTCAGACAATAATACAGATATAAATCTTTTCATTCTCTGCAAATGAGTTGGGAACTATGAATCTTTGCTTTAATTTGTACTTCTTCAAATACTGGTGAGACTGAGCATCCTTGCACATATGTATGAACTGTCCGTATTTCCTGCTTTGATTATTCTGTTCCTACCCTTTGACTTTTTTTCTAATGGAATGCTCATTTTACAGATATATTCATGATCTTTATGAGTCAAGAATATGTTTTTCACTGACTGAAATGCTTGAACTTAAATTATGACTTTAAAAAAATATATGTATTTTTACCGACTTCAGAGAGGAAGAGAGAAAGTGCGATAGAAATAACAGTGATGAGAGAGAATCGTTGACCAGCTGCCTCCTGCATACCTCTTATTGAGGATTGAGCCCAAAACTCAGGCATGTGCCCTGACTGGGAATTGAACTGTGACCTCGTGAGTCATAGGTAGACACTTAACCACTGAGCACACTGGCCGGACTAACTTCATGACTTTTAAAATTCCTATAGAAGTTTTAAATTTTCTTATGTTTTCACACTTACCAATTTTTTGTTTTATGGCTGTTGGCATTTTTGTCATCCCAAGAATTTTATTATAAAAACAATGTCCTGTGTTCTATCAATAGTATATATGTATTTTTTTTAATCTAAAGTTATTTTTTTCAACAGCTTAGCCCATTGACCTCATTTCATTAAAAAAAATATATTTTATTGATTTCTTACAGAGGGGAAAGGAAAGGGATAGAGAGTTAGAAACATCAATGAGAGAGAGACATCAACCAGGTGTGCCTCCTGCACACCCCCTACTGGGGATGTGCCTGCAACCAAGGTACATGCCCTTGACCGGAATCAAACCTGGGACCCTTGAGTCCGCAGGCCGACGCTCTATCCACTGAGTCAAACCGGTTTCGGCGACCTCATTTTAGTTTTAAAATAATTCAATACAATTTGTGCTTAACATTCTTTATGATCTATTTCCATCTGGTTGGTTATCTTAGTGATGGTGTCATCAGTAGCAAAGCTCTATACTATATGGTTCGACGGACAGTTGAGCTCCCCCCTCGTTTTTTCTTGCATCCTCCCAGATATTTATTCTGATAGATCAAATTGTGCATAATTTTCCTAAGTTTCCCCCCCCAAAAAAAACCTATTGAAAAATTTACTAAACATAGAGAGCACATTGGGTGTACCTGACATTGCTGTAATATTTATGTTAAAATTTTCCTTTCTTTTAGGTTTATTTTGAAGTATTCAATATGATTTCTGTCAAGTCTTCTAATTGATTACTGCTCAAATAAAGGAAATCTGTTGAGTTTTTATATATTTGCATTGTGTCTGGCTTCCTTATCAAACTTTCTTATTATTCATAAGCTTTGTATTTCACTCTCTTATTCTATATAACAATCACTCAAAAGTAATGATTTTGCTCCTTTCTGTAAATATTTACACAGTTTATATCTTTTTTTCATTGTATTAATTAACTAGACCTATCAGAACAATGCTGGGTAATTAAAAACTATTCTTTCAATAGTTTAAAAGTATATATCATCCAGGATACTCAGATTATGTATACTATGAATAATTATAATTACAAAATTTGTTTATTTATTTTACCGTTCTTGATGTTAGGGAAAACAGGGTGTGTGGGTGAATTTCTGTTTTCAGCAACTTCTTGCTTCTGGCTGACAGTTGAAACAGAACTGCTGAAAGTTGAAATTTGGCCTTTGGATCCTCTGTCCAAACCCTAAAAACCAAAAAAGGTAACATTGCATCAGAATTCCTACTAGCTATATTTATTTCATTACAGAAATGATAAACATTTATAATAGAGATTTTATTCTGATGATATGAGATAGATAGACAAAACATGTATATATCATTGACTTACCTTTTCTGGCACCAAATTGTTTTAGGTATAAAATGAAAATTTAGGTATAAAATGAGCTGCTTATAAATCAATAAAGTTTAGAAATAGGGATAATAATAGTACTTTTCTCAGGGTTATTGTGAAGATAAACTGAGAAAATGCGTATAAAATAATTAGCACAAAGTACAGACTCCATTTATGTTAACTGCTATTTTAACTTTGTATTTAGGTAACAGTTTTTCTGACCTCCACAAATATTTTCAATAGTTAACATGCATGCCATACTTCACAGGTCAATTCACTGAAGGTTTTCTTGTCCTTTGATGCAATTTTATCTTATTTTATTTAAAAAAAACAACAACAACCCAAACATATTGATTTTTTACGGAGAGGAAGAGAGAGGGATAGAGAGTTAGAGACATCAATGAGAGAGAATCATCGATCAGCTGCCTTTTGCATACCCCCTACTGGGGATGTGCTCCCAACCAAGGTACATGCCCTTGACCGGTACCAAACCCAGGACCTTTCAGTCCACAAGCCATGCTCTATTCACTAAGCCAAATGGTTTTCAGCTGATGCAATTTTAAAAGTTCAGGTAAAAAGATAAACTTGGTAAATAACATTATTTGCATAATCTTGATAAATTGAAGCAATATGCTCAAGCAATATGCTCACAGAACTAGTATGTTAATTAGGAAAAACAAAACAAAATAAACTATATATTTGAAAAAGGAAATCTTTCCTTGATATAAATATTGGAATACTTAAGTAAGGATTTTTAACTACTGGGCCATTGCTCATTTGTATGTTTTGTTCTATCAGAACATCTTAAATAATAGTGGAAACAAATACCAAATTTGATTCAATGTAGACTTCATTTATACACACTATTTAATAAAAATAACACATTTGGGAAAATGAGGTCAGTGAATGGCCCCTCAGTAATCCCTTTGTTAACAGCTATAAATATCCACAATAACTTAATATATCAAGGATGTTTTCTTCATTGATAACTGTCATGGGTGTTAGTTACTTAAAGCTGAGCAGTAATACAATAGTATTTAGAAAGCAATGTAGTTAGAATATAGAATACGGAACAGAGAATGGCTCAGTGCGATGAGACTAGAAAGGTAGGCAGGGACTTTATCCTGGAGCTTTTAGGCTGTGGAATACAGATTTACCCTGGAAGGGGACAGAGAAAAATCAGTGAGAACTTAGAGGCAGGGCATGACATAATCATATCCATACCTTAGAAAAACCACTCTTGCAGGGGTGTAGGGAATAGACTGAAGAGGAGTTAATACAAGAAGCTAGACCAGACCTATCAGAAGAAATGAAGTCTGAACTGAGACAGTAGTAACAGAGAATGAAGACAACAGCAGCCTGGGCCAAAGCTGGCAAAATGGTAATAGCTAGTTCAGGTCTGAATGTAAAGTAATAATGAGAATCAGAGAACCTATCCATACATTTTTTTTTAAAAAGGAATAAACAAAGTAAGATGCTTTATTTCAGATTTCAGAAGACTAGACATATTTTGACATCTCACCATAAAGAAGGCATATAATTTAAGAATATGTAAAAACTTGGAGAAAATTCTAGACTAGTTCATATAAATATTAGAGGCCCGGTGCACGAGATTCATGCACTGGTGGGAGTGGGGGTGTCCCTCATCCCGGCCTGCGCCCTCTTACAGTCCAGGACCCCTCAGGACATTACTCTCACAGCTTGGGGCTTTTGCAGTCAGAACCCCTCACACCTTACTGCCAGCCTGCAGCAGAGGCAGGAGAAGCTCCGGCCACCACAGCTGTACTTGCCAACCGTGAGCCCAGCTTCTGGGTGAGCAGAGCTCCCCCTGTGGGAGCACAGTGACCATCAGGGGGCAGCTCTGCATTGAGTGTCTGCCCCTTGGTGGTCAGTGCGCATCATAGCAACCTGTCATTCCACCGTTTGGTCAATTTGCATATTAGGCTTTTATTATAAATGGCTAGAATAGGAACAAATACTCACTAGGCAAAAGCATGCTTCTCACACCAAAATAATGGTATATTTCTAATTGATAGGATCATCATTATGCTACTGTGTAGCAACTGTTATGCAAAACGAATATAAGGTCAGAACCATGGGAAATATGGGGATGTATAATCTGGGCTGATAAGATTAAGAATGAATGGCCAAAGAGATAAGATATTCAAGAAGGCATGGTACTAAAAACTAGGAAAGGATAAAGTTTTAAGAAAAAAGTGGTCAATAGTGTCACAAGATGAAGTGTGGTTAGGTCTCAAGAATGAGCAACTATGAAATCATGGGGACAGTCAACAGATTCAGGGTGATGGGATATCAGAAACTATTATGAAATGGATGGACAAATGAATGGGACCTTAGAAGACAAAAGCAATAAGCAGGGTTGCTCTGTACAGAAGCTTTATGGAAGGAGAGAATGGCCAGTGGTTGGAAGGTACAAAGGTTTGAGGGAAGAGAGACAGCTGCCAAGTGCAGTGTTTGCTTCTCTGGTCCCCATAGAATCGCTGCTGTCCTCTGTGCAGCAGTGGCCATGGGCTGGAGCAGATAGGCACTCAACTGAAAGGTGTCATCTGTGGGCCACACATAGGGAGCCTGGCACAAAGGACACATACTTCCTGGGATGTCAGAAGAGGTTTTTTTCTTCTTCTAAATTTTAGATGGAGGGACATGGGAATAAGTGATCAACCAAGAGTGAGAGACTAGCAGAAGCACAGAGATCAGCCTGTTTTTGTTCCTATTGCTTTATGGTCCCAATCTACATCATCATTCCATTAAATCTCTCTCTTTTTTTTGTCCCAAAAGGAAGCATAAATGGCCTGATTTCCTGTTCCTTGTAATAAAAAATCTTAGACAACATGAAACAAAATCCTTGGCCCAATAAGTCTCTTGTTTGTAAGGTGACTGTCTCTGTATACTTTATACTTGAGATAGCATGAAATTAATTATGCAGTTTCTTAGGTTGATAGTGCACTATAGATTAATAAAAGAAAACCCTCACAATGGCAGTTCTCCATACTAGCTTGCACAAGAGAAATCTTACACATAACCCAAGACTTTCATGAGGAAAAGCAGGGCAGTATGTTGTGCAACGGTAAACTGAATAATTAAAAATTAGAGAATAAAATCAAGAAGTTATTTGGTATTAACATTACCTCAAACCTCTGACTAAATTAAACATTAGAGAACATTACAAGTCTTCTAAGAATTGCAACTACCATAATTATTACATCTGGTTTCCTGGGGGTTTGGAAGTGTTCTTCAGCTCTCAGCAGGAGAGCACTCCAATGAAGTCCTGGAATGTAGGCAGACTACAAGTAAGGGCTGAATGTGCTGAAGAACAGAGGGTAACGAGATACCCAACCAGCTTTTATAGACTGAAGATAAGTACAAACAAGGGACACGAGGGAAAAACACTCTAAGAATTAATTGAGGGAAAAACCGCAAACTATTTGAACCAGGCATAATAAATGACTAAGCAAGGGCTGACCACGCGTTTAATAAACAGAAAAATTTCATGTTCATATTTCACAAGTACCTAACATAGACCTGAATGGTCTTTCTGACTATACTAGTATAATCACACAGTATATAGGTGAGATTATAATATAATTTCAAAAAATTAAATACTTAGAGTACCAGTTCTGCCCCTGCTAACACATAATTGAGTACTGTCAGCCTTATATAACGTTTTATTTTGATACACGAGTTCCTATTTTTAACCTTTACTTTGGAACAGATTATATTGAGTTAAATTTTATATTTTTCTTTCGGACACCAATAAGGTAATTAATGGTTTTCCACAATAGCTTTTGTATTGAACACCAAGCTCTATTATATTCAAAATTTTAGTATAATTTACTTTGTTCATCTTCTACCCTCAAAAACTGCCTTAGGAGATAAAACATTTCTGTTCAAGCCACACCGGCCAGGGCTCTGTTCACATTCTCTAATAATCTGAAACAGGAACAATTGCTGGTTCTGTTCCCTAGTGAAACTTTTAAAAGTCATAATATCTCATTATATTAGAGTCTGTGAATTAAGATATTTTAAATTGAATTTCTGTGTCTACAAAATACATTAATTATAATATTTTAAACTACTAGTTTTGCACACAGCTGGAAATGCTTGCATGTTAAATTATATCAAGGAAAATTATTGTTGTAGCTATTTAGACCAGTCAGACTGGAGGTTTTATTTACTGAAGAGACAGTATGTAACAAATGAATAGGGAGATGGACTGCACTGGCTCAGGTGTCTGCATGCCAGGTGTCAAAGGGGATTGAGTCACCAGGACATGTTCAATTTCAGAAGAATTATTAACACCTGGTTTAATAGAAGATAGCTGGATTCTTACATCTGCTTCTGCACTCAGTTTTGCAATATCACGAGTCATATAGCCTCTAGAAAACTACTCTGTCAACTCCTGAAAGAATGAGCAGGAATAAGACAAGACAAATAACCTCTCTGTATCTTTGTAAAAGTAGTTTGACCTCAAGTATTTATAAAAGGACTAGAGGCCTGGTGCACAAAATTCATGCACTCGGGAGGGAGGGGTCCCTCAGCTCAGCCTGTGCCCTCTTGCAGTCTGTGAGCCCTTGGAGGATGTCCAACTGATGGGGTAGGCCCGCTTCCCCCAGAAGTCAGCAATCAGGCATTCTTCCAGCTGTCACGCCAACCACCACTGTGCACCAACCACCACTGTGCTCGCTAGCCTTGAGCCTGGCTTCTGGTTGAGTGGCACTTCCCCTGTAAGATCAGGCTAAAACCAGCTCTCCAACATCCCCTGAAGGCCCCCAGACTGCAAGAGGGCACAGGCCAGACTGAGGGACCCCACCAGTGCACAGCTGGGCTGGGGA